TCTGCATGTTATGCAGTTCCTGATGTATTTGGCCTTATATCTATCACTTCATTGGTATTAGCTTGGTCTTTTGGATTACTAATAAAGATCTATAAAGACAAGCATCACATGTTCTTTTAGCAGGTACTTTAGAAATTAAAAGACACACCCTTGATCTGTTTTAATACAAATCATCACATTCACCTCTACCATGTGTACGCTTTGACGTTAGAACACTTTAAAGTCAACACTTAATCTAGACTGCATGGGTTCAAGTGCCAGCTCTGCCCCCTCATTAACTAAATATTGCTCAAAAATCTCTCTGTGTCCAAGCTCTTGAAAAGGAACAAGAAAGGATGGAATGGAAAGGCTAAGGTGCAGATAAAGAGCTTTAGACATGGCATATAGGAGATGCCAGTGGGAAACCGTAGGTAGATATGTGAATCAGCCTGGTGATCAATGGGTTTGTGCTATGGTTGGATCCTGAACATCTCCCAATGTGAAGAGTTGAAGTCTCAGTCCCCAGACTGTGATGATATAGAGAAGGTGACACCTTCAGGAAGGGGGATCCTCATAGAAGGAAAACTAGATCACTGGGGATATCTGGACCCTACCCCTTTCTTCTCTTTGCTTCCCAGTTGCCATAAAGTGAGCAGACTTGCTCTACCATGTGCTTCCCAACATAAAGTTCTGCCTCATCACAGGTCCCAAAACAATGAAGACAAGTTACCATGGACAGAAACCTCTCAAACAGATTGAAAAACAGGATGGTAGGAAGATGCACTGCATTCACAGCTAGGTGACCAGATGGAGTCCTTAAGGAGTTATGCTTTCTAGAAGAAGATCTAATTAGAGTGACTAGTGAGGAAGGATGAAAGCCATGACAATAGTGTCCAGGAGAGGAATCCTAGGAGACATCACACAAAAGAGGGGTGACTAACTATGAACTGTTAACACACACAATGGCATGTTCCCAATGTCCATTAAGGTTGATAATAAGGTTGTTCTGCCCTTGCCAAGAACCATTAGGGTAAAGAAAGAAAAGGCTTAATGAAGAGGTTCCAAGAGAGAATGGGAGGGGGAAAAAAGATAGTGAAGCAGAAAGGGGGATGAGATGTTCTCCAGTGAGAGGGTGATTATCACTTTTACTTGATGAAGGTAATAGCCTGTCTGCTATAGACTGCAGGATCATGTTTTGGTTCACCTGGATGAATGAATTGACTTTTTGCCTCTTTGGTCTATTTCATTGCTCAGTTGTTTAAACATGTCCTTGGTTGTTCTTTAAATGGATTAACCATATTCTTTCTCAAATGGTATATAGGGTTAAACATCTTTACTGAGCTGAAATAGGGGTTCCTGGTATCAGACAACTTGAATTTTGGAAAGCAGCTCCCAACTGTAACTTTTGCTGCATTACAATTTGGGGTTGGTCAGGCTATATTATTTTAAAAGTGTTCAAGTTAACTATCTACATGACCTCTAAGCAGTCACGTCATCATGTGTTTTGTATCCTCCATTTATCATTATAACTGTAACTGACACACAAAGGTATTCTGAGACTTGGGACAACAAGTGTACAAGGACTAATGCTTTCAGATGGCAGGGAGTATTCTGCTCCTCAGATGTCAGTATCAACAGATGAACACAAAAATATGGTGTATTGTTTTTCTAGGGCTGCCATAATGAAACATCACAGACTGGGAAGATCAAACAATAGAAATTTATTCTCTCATTGTTCTGGAGGTGAGAAGTCCAAGATTATGGTGTCAGCAGGAATTGTGCCTTCGAAGGCTTCTCTCCTTGCTCCTTGGCTTGCAATTGGCCACCTTCTTGCGTGTCCTCCATGATCCTTCCTTAGCTGGGTGTGCATCCTTTGTGTCTCGTTATGTGCTGATATCCTCTTCTTATGACACCAGTCAAAATGAATTAGGGCACACATTAATGACCTCATTTAAACTCAGTCCCTCTTTAAAGGATCTGTCACGAAATACAGTTGCATTATGAGGTACTGCAAGTTAGGGCTTCGATATATGAATTTGGGGGGAAGATAATTCAGCCTATAATCTTGCATAATATCATTACTGCATAATCACTTCCACTTAAAAATAATGTTGGGGCTCTGAATTACTCATATAATTGAGAAAATTTTAAAATTTGTAGATACCTAAATTATTAAAAATTTTATATTCAACATATAGAAGCCATGGCAGATAATATGCAATATAACGTAGAACCATTTAAACAAAAATTCTTGAAAGAAAAAAAATTCTATGCCTTAATGTATGAAGACACAAACATTGTGACACTCTAACTTTGTGTACAACCAGAGAGATGAAAATTCGCACTCTATAAGTGTAATATGACAGCATTCTGCTGTCATACATAACAAATTAGAATAAAAAGTCTTTAAATAAAGACGAACTTTAGTAACCTGTAAGATTCTTTTTGTGTTGGTTCCTGATGATTAGATATAAATGTAACAGAAAAAAAGTTCACATTTTAAACTTAATTATGTCTTATGTTGAGTGAAGTTTGAGTGACAACATACAAATCTTGATGCAAATTTTGATAAGATAGTACAAGTTTCAATAATCTTCTCCATGGAGTGATTATCAACTTGAAAAAGCACACTACAACCTGTCTGAATAAATCTGATGCATTTTCAAAAATATTTCCTTTTGCAATACATACTTCATGCGTATTTAATAATTAAAAATTTTCATATGAGCCAGGAAAATCAGCATAAGCCATATATTTTTTTTGCTTCAATCCGTTTGGCTTGAGTTCTTCATGCCATTCTGATGAATCATCAGATAAAGATCTATTTAGAAATCAAGCACTTAAAAATCATGGCTAATAATTAACTTATAGGATACAGAGTGCCTTCTGTTTGTGTTATATAGGCTTAATTTAAAATAAAGCATTATTCATGTTGAATGTTTGGGAAAATGGTAGAAACAGCTTGAAATATAAATTAATTTTTTTAAAAAAAGGAAAAAAGAATAGATAATCCATTTGATTTATTTCACAATAACCTTTAAATTCTAAAAATACTGGAGAAAGACTAGTCACATTCAAGGGGACCTGTAAATCAATTTTCATTTTTTACTCAAAATAAATGAGATGTTGCCATTTTCTCTTACACTTGAAAAACCAAAGACAACAGTTCGGGAAAGGAGGAGAAACTGGAAGTCATTAGACTTTTAAGTTCAAATTTCAAGAAAAATTCATATAAGGCAGGTAAATACTCCAGACACTTTCCCATTGCTCATTACTGTCAAATATATTAATTTCCACATGCCTCTTTATGTCATGAAATATATTATTTATTAGAAATAATAGTTTATTTAAAATTACTCTTTCTAAATCACATGATTTAGTTAAAGGACAGCTCCCCAATAGTGCCACCTATCTATAAACTGCCCTGCAGTTTTATTTACTTTTTTTTTTAAAAAAATTCCAATTTATTTGGATTTAAAGAATACCATCTGGCCATGGTAAACTACTCTACCCCCAGCAAATATAAGTGGTCAGTATTTTACAGTGAAGACAGTCACAGCATTTAAGAGCACATTATTGTTCTACATGGAGTAACTGAAAATGGGTCTTTGTACACAAATTCAGATAGGAACCTCCCCCCCAAAAAAATACAAGAAAAAAAAGAAGAATTACTAAGAATAAAGCATAGCTCTATAAATAAATTTTCATAAAACCTCATCAATCCTAATATAACTTGAAAGAAACTAATGAACTGCCCGTAAGAACTGTAAGATAGCATTATCTTAGGAAAATTCCCTATTTTGTGCCTAATCTTTATGTGAAAACAAAAACCAAGAGCTTTGTCCGTTTCACTGGCACAGGGAGAAGACCACTGTTTTATTAAAAGGGGGAAAAACAATACAGACAGACTGACGGAATGTGAACTGGTAGTCAAGTACTGCAAACATGTAGTCAAGTTAAACTACTCCCCCTTCCTCAAAGTGGCTATGTATTGTACATTTCCAGTTTATTCTGACAACACAGAGAAAGATATTACAATCTCAGAAAGTAACAGAAAATCAGACAATAACGGCAAAAAGACCCCGTCAGGGTGAATTTTGTTCGTACCAAAAATAAAGTTAGGAACCCTAAAATATTGCTTGCCTACAGCAACAGGGCAAATGACATCCCTGCCAGGCCTATCAACGTACTCCCTCCACTGCAGTGTTAAGTCTCCTCTTAGCAGCCGCTGACAAACAACTCGAGTGTAGTGAATGTGTGCTGTGGCTGGTTCACTAACACCATAAATAACACCACCATTAATCACTTCAGCTGGCTGAGAATATTAGCTCTGGGAAAATATTTAGACACTGAGCTTTTCTTCATAACAAGCAATTTCTCCTTACCAAGGTCTGGTCCTTAGTGAACTAGTATAAATCTTAGGCTACCCCTTTGGGTGGTAGAAGGGTTGTTAAGTTCTTGTCTCTTTTTTAAAATAAGCCCAGTGCTGTTTGTTAGTCAGTCATGAAAATGAATTCTTCCCCTTTTCAATTCGCTACCTTAAGGCAGACCCTATGTAAACCTAAAAGCATATGGTAACAACATACAAGGTTTCTCAAAGTGCAAGATATGTTACAGATAGTTTCATAGACTTCATTTAAACACAGCATTTTATACAATACAGTACAGTTTGAGATTTCTGCTCATAAATTATTCCACTTAGATAACTACTTAAAAGGGTTGACCATTTAAAGTAACCCAACGCCTTCTTACACAGGTTAATACAATTGAACTTTACAAGCTTTGTTTAGACCAAAGTAAGGTTAATCTTACACTTCATCACATATATACATATTTTAAAATACTCTTCTAATGTCCGAGTATACCTACACAGATTTCTTAAATAGAGACAAACTTACCATAGACAAACTTTCAGGAATTATAATTTGGTTTCTGATTTAGACACAAACACTGTATACAATATTTAAAAAAATAATTTGTTAGACAATTCATTTAATTTCTTTCTGCAAAATCTGTTCACCCTATAACTCTTTAGGAAGGGTTCTTGACCGCTGTAGAACCACACTAAGTTCTTCAATGACCTTTGATGGCAATTTATGATCAGTGTCCAAAGCAGCTTTGCTATTCCTATCTTCGGCCTTGCCCAATGTCTTTAGGCCTTTGTGGCCTTTCTGGTGCCCACGTGGAACCTCGGACTCTGTGTCCTCCAGGCAGTTGAAACTCCGGTGTTTTCTGGTACGATTTCGAAGTTTGTCCTCCTTGTGCTCCAGGCACTGGGCTACGATGGAGGCTCTGTCCTTCAAGCTAGGGTCCATGAACTCTCTGTCATGCTTTTCACTGAGCCGCAGCCTTTCAAGTTCTGCTTTTGCACTCTAAAAATAAAATGTCCCATAGGAAAGCAAGATTTGGCATGACTGATGTTTAAGAAATATGTTCCACGTAGCAGTTGATGCTTTCTATATAAGAGCTTATTTCTAGGATGTAGGTCTAATTTTACTTTGACACAAATGGCGTATCTGAATTTATATACTCATCTTGGAGCTACAAAATCAAATATAGAGTGTGGAAATTCATTTTAACATGCATTTAACATACCATCTCAAAGATAACAGGCTAGCTATCCAAATTGATTCTCATTTCAAACTGGCCTCTTCCAACTCATTTCTGCTCATGGCCTGTGCATGCATTCTTAGTCCACAGAGTATGGTACTTGTGGGTCTAAGGGGAAAAGTGTTCTTTTTGGTCATGTGAGCCAGAGGTGCTCTGTACTGCAGCCCCCTCTTCGAGATTCACAACACATAATAGCATATTAAAGATTTTAAGAAATTTTGTGGCAGAGAAATTAGATTTGCTTTTTTCCCTTATTTTATTCTACTTGACTAGTAAAACCTTTTCCCCCATATAATGACTATTAGAATACCCCAGGTATGTTTTTTATAAATTAATTGATTTTTCAGTACTGAGAATTGAACCAAGGGATACTTAATCACTGAGCCACATCCGCAGATCCCCCTTTTAAAATTTTTTTTTTTATTTTGAGATAGGGTCTCCTTAAGTTGCTTAGGGCCTCACTAAGTTGCTGAGGCTGGCTTTGAAATTGGGATCCTCCTGTATCAGCCTCCTGAACGCTGGGATTACAGGCATGTTCAACTGCATCAGGTACATTTTTAGAAATCCTATATCAGTGCATGAGAGAGCACATTCATTTGGGAAACTGCAAGGTCATACAAGTACAAGATGTATACTCCAATGGAACAAAGGTAGACTTTTAAAACTAGCATTCAGGGCACCTTGTGGCTATGCAATACCTAATGTACAGAACGTTTCTGGATTCTCAAAGGAGACCACAAGCCAATCAAGTATAAGATATGGTTTTGTGTATCACATTAGTAGTTCCAATTGTCTTTCATCCACCATCAGAAATACTCTGGTACTCCCTCAAATGTAGAATGTAGGGCACAAGCAATATTAACACATACAATGCTGAAATTAGGTATACTATAAAATTTAGTATCAGTCTAAACAATGTATGACCTTTTGCTGGAAATATGGTGGAAGTGACCTGTTCAGAGTCAGAGGATGGGAGAGTTGAGAGTAGAGAAAACCATGAGTGCTTTACATGAATCAGACTCTGTTGTGCTAGAGGGATGTGCATGTTGTAAGGCCAGAAAACCAAGGGCACAGGTATTGAGGAATGAAGGGCAGTATTTATGTGCACGCTGTCCTTAGAAGATATTTATAATTTAAAAAGAGACAGATAAGATGTACAAGTAGGTAAACACCAGGTGGCTTGCTCCAGGCAGTACTATGTCACACAGCCTTGAGAGAAATGGAGCCTCTCTCCCCCAGCTGCAGAGAGCAGTGTCTACTGTCAAAGCCAGAGCTCTGGGCAGTGAATGGATTCTCAGAGCAAATCATTCACAGGGTTTTAATTGAGGCACTCACATATTAAATCCACTAAAGTCAGGGATGCATGGTTATGGGTGTCCTATAATACCAAAAAGAAATATGGCCAGCATATACAAATTGCCAGTACAAACTCTTTTAAATGACTTTTATTACTAAACCTGCAGTAATAATATTCATGATATAAATATTTAATAGCCATGTTATAAAACATATAATCATATCACTAAGTTCCCAATGCTTTAAGTTTTATATAACTATTTGCAGTTTAAAGTATATGATCTACATTTTAAGATGCAGAAATAGAAATTCAAAGAAGAAACAACTGGCCCAAAGTCACATAAGTGAGAGTTTGGAATGTGATCCCTGGCTGGCCTGGTTGATGTGTTTCTTTCTAGCACATCAAAATCCTCCAGGAAGACCAGGAAGGTAATGGAGGAGAAAGGGATGGATGGAATTCTAGATGACTTATCTTTGTTTCACTGGAGCATGTTCACTGGTTCATTATTTTTGTTTTACTGATATAATTTTAAAAAGGAGTGACCTTTTTGACAGGGGGCAGTATAATTCCTGGAGTAAAGCACTTCTCCTGCCTCAGCCTCTTGAGTCACCAAGACTAGAAGCCCATACCCCTGTGCCTAGCTATAAATGGCAATTTTGAAACCTATCCCATACTGTCTTCCAAGTTCTTATTTTCTTGTATCAACATATGATAACCATATGCCAGGTGCTATTCTAATAAATTCTCATGCATACTATTATTTAATCATCACAGCTACCTTAGAGAATAAGGGGCTTTAATTATCTTCAAATTCTTCCAGATAAATAAACAGAGAACACAAACCTATAGTGCCACCGGGAGTTTCTAATGTTTACTCTTGGACATGGTTTGCCCCTCTATAGGTGATTTCTTTGCCAATAATTTTACTCACCCTCACTTTTCACCTGGCTCTCTGCTCACTGGCATAATTAATTTTAGAAATCACTACTTCCAGGAAGCCCTCCAGGCCTGAACGAGGTACTATCATACACCTCTCCAAAAAACCTCAGGCAATCCAAGTCAACTAATGTATTGATCTGCCAACAGCTTGTATTGAAAAATAATTCTCCCTCTGTATATCCCTTGGTATATATTTTTTTCTGATGAATATATTAGTCCTTTTATGTCACTTTCTATTTTTAACAAAGTGTCAAAAATGGTTAGTCATTTTATAAATATATTTTCTTACATATTTGGATGAATCTAATCTCATTCTACAATAAGCATTTTTAAGGTTCACAGGAAAAAAATTTTTGTTCTTTAAATGTTGTTTAAATGCCTTTTAAAGTGAGTTTCAGTGCTTTCCCCAACACTAGAGAATTTTAAAAATATCTGCTAAATTTGTCAAATCAACAAAACACCATAATTACTAAATTTACAAAAAAAGTTTAGTTTACTATGATTCAGAAACTTTTCTAGCAATTACTATTGCATGGAATTGTTTTAAGAACTTTTAAAAATATTTTTTAGTTTTAGATGGACACAATACTTTTATTTTATTTTTATGTGGTGCTGAGGATGGAACCCAGTGCCTCATGAATGCTAGGTTAAGTGCTCTACCACTGAGCCACCCACCCCCTGTTTTATGAACTTTTAACAATTTTTTCATAGTTTTGTCAGTTTCCTGCTCTTAAGCATGTTAGAAAATTATTTCTAAAATTCTGGATTTGGGATTATGTAATAAATTAACATGGGTAATCATCACCAACACTGGATGTCAGTGTATTTTTTTACCCTAAAAATCTCTTTTTTGCTTTGCTTCATAACTGATCTTAAGGCAGTGCCAGGAGAAGCTAGGGTCCCTGTAGGGTATATGCACTCCCTATGTTAGTGCCACTGGTGCAACCTGTGTCCTCTGTCCTGGATTCCTATGGAATGTGACCCTTAAAACATTAGGATTCTAGATTTTTTCAAGGAGCCTTTAGCTCTGCAGTGTGGTTTATTATTCTTTCTTTTCTTCTCTCTCTCTCTCTTTCATATATATATGTGTGTGTGTGTGTGTGTGTGTGTGTGTGTATATATATATATATATATATATATATATATATATATATATATATATACTTAGAGGAATAAGGTCATAATTTTTTGGAGACTTAATTCTTTCCATCAGTGGAGCAGGACCAAGTAATACAACCAAGGACAAGCCTTTGTCTTTTAGAGAAGGAGTATTACAGTGGGAAAAATGTTCAAGTTCATTTTTGTGCAAGGAAAAACTTTGAAAAAACTTGATCATTAGGTTCAAGTGCCTTGAGTCTTTCCAAGATGATTTATGTTTGGAGGGCAAGAGATTCAAATAGCTTAATCCCAACTTTAAGCTCAAAAAGATAAAATGTTTTTCTCTTTGCTTTGAAGAACTCGATTAAGGTACTAAGACATGCATTAGTTCCAAAGTGGCTGACGAATTTTGGAAATGAAGAGCCTATGTTCTTCCCTGAAGAACCACACTTCATGTCAAGAATGACATTATTTGCACTTTCCTATCTCTCCAGATGAAAAAGAAAACAAATAGCAGCCTTCATGAAAAATGCCAAGTCTTTCTTTATGATGCTCGGGGGTCATCTTGTAGTTCCTTAAATTAGGAAGACACCCCATGGGTTCTCAAACCACTGGAACTTGGTTATGTCACTAGTAAATCTAGTTACCAAACTCTGGACATTTTTTGCCATGGTCTCACTCTAAGGGTTTTATATGTAAATTTTTAAGTCCAAATTCAGACAGTTATTTTACCATCAGAATTTCTATGCAAATATTTAAATTGCTTGGCTACTTAGAGATAAAAGTAATAAGTGGCATTGTACATACATAACTGGGTGGTCAGTGACATAAACATGACTAGCGCAGTTATTCATGATGGTTTCTTCATGTATATGGTGTTATTCTGTTTTTTGAAGTGATTATTACTGCGCTTTTGAGGTCAAGGAAGTATTTAACCTGCTTAGTCACATTAAAAGACAGAAAAACAAATCCATTAGGCTAATAGAAGACAACCCAAATCTCGACCCACCTCAAAGCTTCTCTGGGCTTGGGTTGCATTTGCCTCTTGCTGAATTGGAATCAGAGGTAAACCTCCAATTTTTGGATTTTTGGTTATTGACCGTTTCCGTTCCTTTCCAGCTGGCGGCCATATGTCATCTTCATGCTGTGGAAAAATGAGTTCACTCTGTTGGTGTGTGGTTTTGTCATGCAGTACCCCATGTTAGTGACTTGGCTCCTATTCTGTACATCCAAGTCAAGCGATCTGCCCTCCATAAGAATGCCACTGGTAATTATGATGTTGACTCTGGCAGCGACATGGCTCGAGGACCTGAAACTCTTAAGTGAGCTGAGCTTTGAGGTCTCAGTTCAATTTCTAAGTTTCAAATTCATGCCTTCGTACTACTTACCAAGCCAAATGGGGGAAAATATTTGAGAAAACTGGCAAATCTCTTTGTAATAGAAAAATAATACACTTGTCTATATTTCCAGATCCTGTAATAAAAGTAGCTATACATTTATTTTCTCCCTAACACCAAAGGTGATCTTAATGTAAAAACAATTTGATTTTACATCCCCGAATCAACCTAAGGTGTGGATATCTGAGAAATTACCCTTATTTTATGACCTTTTGAAAAATGTTACTTTTTTATCTAATTGAATTTTGAAGAAATGTTACCTGTTTACACAGACATTTATACTGAAAATAGCTGTACAACAGAGAGTACGGCACATTTGTTTTCAAATTATTGACTATACATTCTAGCCCACTAAACAGTTATAGATATGACTGAAGAAAAGTTAATTTTGCAATAGGGGATAACTGTCCACAGGTAAAAATATAAGCTTTTGAATGATTAGTCCTTGAGATATACATATAAAAGAAAAATCTTTAAAGAATTTTTCTACTCCTCAGGGTAGATTAACTTTTTAAAAATTGGGTAAAACAAATTGATTTTTCAGACAACTATGGAAAAAAATACAGAACACCAACTACAAAATGAGAAGTTTAAGATGCTTTGGTGAAATAAAAAACATTTGGTGAACTATATAGCAAAATGCCTCCTCTTTGTTTTCATCATTTGTTAAAGTTCTTGTTCTTATGTTGCAGTTAGTATTTTAATGCATTATTTTATAACAAAGAATTCATTTCTACAAATACATAATGTGTACCCTTTAAAGTAGCTAATTTACATTGATGGGCTTACTTGGTAGATTTTTGTGCCTATCAATATACACGTACCATTTCATCTAATCTTCAATTATTCTACAGTGTTAAGTTCTATTGTTATTAAACTTAGTGTTTATGTATAATATATACCTTTGAATATTAGTGAAGTAATTACCTTGATTCAGCAAACCTGTAATGGCAGATGGTACGGTATTTCAATAAAAAAAAGGTATACACTTCATGTTGTTATTAATTATTATTTTTTAATTTATTTTTGGTACCAGGGATTAAACCTAGGGGCACGTAACCACCAAGTCACATCCTCAGCCCAATTTTATTCTTGATTTTGAGACAGGGCCTTTCAAAGTTGCTTAGGGCATAAGTTGCTGAGGCTGGTTTTGAACTTGCAATCCTTGTGCCTCAGACTACCACTGGGATTGTTTTTATGTCATGGTCCCAAACATTGTAAAATTAACTTTGATATTATGTAATGAGGTTGTTCTCAACATGTCAAACTATGAGAAATCTATTAGAGAAGGAATTTAGGTGACTTTTCAAATTGCTGATATATAACATGTATGCTAAATGATGATTTGGGGAAAGCAGAAATCCCTAGGTCAGAGTGACATGTTCTTATTTAACATTTATAGCTATTGGTAAGTGACTTCAAAAGTCATGCAACAGGATTATACACTTGAGGATCATACTCTCACTGTTATACTGATCATACTCCACTTCTGCCTCTCACTTTCTAACTTGACCTCCCCAACTTTTCAGCTTTGTTTCATTCAATATAAATATTTTTTTGACTCATTGAGACTCCTAATCCATTCACCAACATTCTTCTTCCATGTTTTTTTTTTTTTCCTGTTTCCTTCATAGCTTGACTCAAATTTCATGGTGAATTAGTAAACTCTCTTTCCCTTATAAAACATCTTTAAGTCCCATGCTTAATTCTATAATACTTTATTTTGCAAAGCCCCAAACCTAAACATAATTCTAATTTCTGGGTGTCTGCTAGTTGATGGAGGAAAAGCAGAAGATTATTCTGTAGCTTCATCTCACTTTAAATCTAGCCTTAAATTTCCAGAAAGCAGCTAGAAAGTACCTTGGAGTTCTGGTGCAGGACAACTGGCTTCTGCACACTCTATACAAATTATTTCCCCACTTTTCTCCACCTTCCTAATAGCTTTGCCTGCCGTACAAATTATGTACTTGCTGATTTCATTTTAAAAGTTATTAGAATCACTTAAGAAAATAATATTCCCACCACAAAATGTACTGATGTCCCTGCATCCATTAACTTCTTCCTTGTAATTTAGCATTTGCTCATTTGCTCTGATTTTGAGTAGCCTTGTTCCAGTCCTATCTATAATTGCTCAGTAGACCAGAATGTGTAGTCAATAATTTGAGAACAAATCCACACTGTTGAGTAATGATTTTTAGGCTCTGATGAACAAACGTGCACATGACCACAGTGCTTCACGTCTGCCCAGGGCCTCTCATGATTTCCAATCTCTTTCTTCCTCTGTCAGCTTATTTTTCAATCACTGGATTTCCTCCATCAGCATATATATCAAATAGATAGTCTCCTATCTTAAAGACAAAGGGAAACCCCCAATCCTACCTTGACCTCTTCTTCCTACCTGGTCACAGCATCATGATCTCCACAGCAAATTACCTGTCAGACTTTTTGTATCTGGTACCTGCTTTTCTTCCTCTCACCCCTCCTTATTTTCTTTGTTTTTATCTAGCCTGCTTTACCTTGGAAGTTCACAATGTTCCATGTGCTCTCCATCTCTCTGCCCCTCCGCTCTGTTACCTCATCCAATCCTACAGCTTTCTCTACAATCACAAATTTACATTTCAGCCCCAAACTTTTGCCTGAGAGTTTTTGACCCAAGTTGCATTTCCATTTGTGTATCTAAAGGTATCTCAGATTTCATGTGACCCAAACCAAACTCTTAATTTCACCATACATCTCTGATACTCTTAAAACAGGGACACTAAATATGATCTGTCTCTGCGTACCTTATATCTTCCATTGCACCGTCCTCTTTATGGAATAAAATGAGACATGATAACATCTCTGCAACAGGACAGTGCTGGCCCCTGTCCTTAGAATGACCCCTCTGTCTTCTGTTTTGGAATTAGGGCTCGAACCCAGGGCTCTGTGTATTTGAGGCAAGTGCTTTGCCACTAAGATACATCCCGGCACCTAGAATGACCCCTTTTAATACTGGATGACCCATCTGCATTTCAGACAGATCTCAGCTCCCCCTGTCATCTACTCAAAAAGCCAATATCTGAGAGTTTTTCTCCGCGAGGGCCCTCCTTATCTCAGCCATGTTCTCTTCTTCTTTTCCTCCCTGCTCCTCATGTCTTTCCTCATCCTTGTCCCAAACACTTGGCCCTATTATTTTCTCTTCCTCCCACTTCTGCAGATTATTCAGATTATTTTATCACAGTGATGTCCATCTGAATTTTTATCTGATTATTTGTTTGTCATCTTTTCCTCTTTCCTATTTTAGAAATACTGAGTACGTGTTATAATGGATATAATGGAGAAGTATAAGGTGCTGAGGGTCTAACTGTTCTGAAGGCCAGGGAGGTTTTCTCTGAGAATATGATATTTAAGGTGACATCTAGAGAGCTTTTGAAGTAAAGGGAAGAGGGGATGGATATTAGAAAGTTTTCTAGTTGCCAGAAAGAACTCCTTGTAAGGAACATTTGCTGTGTGTGTGTGTGTGTGTGTGTGTGTGTGTGTGTTGTGTGCACACACATATTAATGTATATCTATGCTACTTTGCTGTTTCCCTACCATGAGGCATAAATCCTTGATCCAAGAGAGCCTCTGTGTTTATCTTAATGAGGGAGCTGAATAATCTGCAGAAGTAGGAGGAAGAGAAAATAATAGGGCTAAGTGTTTGGGATGAGGATGAGAAAGGACATGAGGGGCACGGAAGAATAACTTGGTCACAGAAGTAGGCCCTGCTTATGCTGTTTCAACCTCAGAGTCTACTGACTTCAATTATAAAAACAGAAGCACAGGATTAGATTTATTGCTGACAAAAACTATAACAGCGTTTGACTACATAGTCCCAACTTTACTAAAACCCTTCAAGTCTAGTATTTTTGTTTTTTAAGCAGAGTCTGAGTGCCTGAATTTTCAAAAAGTCAGCAGCTAGTCTTTTCTTCCAAATGCATTCCTGTGCAGTAACAGAAGGGGCAGGCTGGAGGAGTCACGTTTATTAACCACTGGAAAGGTTAATGAATTAAATGAACAGAGAAAACGTTTTTTCAAGACAAGTAAGGACTAGATTTTGGGGTAAGTCAACTTCTTCCTTATAAAGGAAACAGGGAAGTACCCTCTCAGTAATGAAGAATGGCAACTTAATCGTTAACAATGAATGCCAACACTCTGTGTGAAGCAATGCTGGGAATTCAGCCAGACAAGGTTGGGAAAGAAACCAATCTCATTAATGGGACTATTTAACCCTTCTCTGAAAGAGTGAGTCCTCCTCCAGGGAGGAGACTAAATGGGAAGCTGAGTGTAAGCACTGTCTCAGAAAACCCTGAGTCTGAACCACTAACGAAATGAATAGCCCTGGGAAATGATGGGACATCCACTCTTAAAGACACATGGTTTGTTAACAGGAGTGTACAAGTTGACTGTTCAGAAGTACCTAGCATACACCAGTTATGAAAGAAATGTACACTCCTACCCTAACTTCTGGAAACACTGGGATGGGAGGATGGAGAACAGAAATGGAAACAGGATCCGTCCCTAAATAAAGACGACGTGGGACTCTGGTGGGATGATAGCTGAGTCCCTCTTCCCTGTGCTGCCATGGTAAAGTGCACGTGTCTCCTGAGCCAAGGAACTGCTGCTGGCTGATAAAGAGGAAGTCTGATAGAATCAACTTTTTCAAAGGGCAATGGATGGATTTAGATTCATATATTTAAAAAAATGAGCATAAAAGTTTATTTTAATTGTATGAATATTAAAACTATTATAAAAGTTTTTTTTAAAAGAAAAAGTCACAAGCATATCAGCATTTCCTATATATGAAGTTGCTATATTCCATTCAGTAGTTAAAACAGATATCATACCTGTGCAATAAAGATACTGGCCATCCACTCCATCTGAGTGTGTGAACTTTCACAACACAGGTGCCTGTAAAACAAGACTCATAAAATAAATAATTCAAAACGACAACTGGATAGTCTCCACAGAATTCCTTTGGCAATAGAGCTATCAGAACTCCTTTTGGCTTTCTCTTGATTTAAAGTGGAATATTTCAGTCCAAGTAGTTTCTGTTAGGTAAACAATATCAAAATAACAGTGTAAATATATTGGTTTAAACAAAATACAGCAAAGGGCTTTGGTAACTGCTGCAAAATAATCAATATTTTTAGAGAGGCAGAAAGTCAATATCATTTTGCTTTTTTGGGTACATGACTGTAAAACAATTTTTTCCCCAGAAACTCTGACACACACACACACACACACACACACACACACACACACACACACACACATTCTTACGATGGAAGATTTTTTAAAAAATGCTTAGGCAGGTCTCATAATGATTAGACACACTAATATCCACAGACTCATAAAAAATAAACTACATGAAAAACCACTACATACCCAGTAATACTGATTCAGTTACCTTATATTGAAATCCTGAATAAAACAGAGATCTTGCCCTCAAGGTTTTTGTAGTATATTTGGGGAGCTAGGCATGTGAACCAGTAAATTTTAGCACAGTATGAAAAAGTGAAAGTGAAGCTGAATAGCAACACAGAAACTGTAGGTGCTGGGGAAGAGCAGGGAGGTGGCATATTTTTTTAAGAAGAAGAGTTTTTATAACTGATGTTAGCATGATATAAGAGAACATTTCCATGTAATTATGTTCTTCCTATTCTTATATTATTAAAATTAATTTCCTTGAAAAACTGATAAAAATGAAATTTCAAAAAAAAATGCTTTCTTCCTTCATCAGAGTCTTAGGAAGTCAAATGTCTCTTCTCATTATCATGTCCAAACAAAAAAATTATCTTATGTATGTACCCCTGTATATAAAATACTACAGATGCAGAGAAATAATAAATAATTATGACAGATGGGAGTCATCTGATAAGCCTTTGGGGGCATCCAAGTTATCATCTGAAAGAAGAATGACTTGGGTGTGATGGCACATGCCTGTAATCCCAGCGGTTTTAGAGGCTGAGGCAGGAGGATCACAAATTCAAAGCCAGCCTCAGCAACTTAGCGAGGCTCCATCTCAAAATTAAAAATTAAAAAAAAAAAGAGCTGGGGATTTGGCTCAGTGGTTAAGCACCTTTAGGTTCAATCCCTGGTACAAAAAAAAGAATGACAGTTTGAGTTGACAATTTCATCAGGAAGACGATAAAAGCCATGAGAAAATGGGAGAGGTCAGTAAAAGACCACACATAGTGTACATGTAGATATGAAGCAACAATAAAGTATTAAAGGCAGACTCTCATTCTATTCTTAAGTACAAAAGAGAAGCTTATGGGAAACGAAGCTGATGGTGTCACATCGAGGGCCTTGCATGCCATGCCAGCAATCCTGTCCTTGTCCTCTATGTGATAAGATTCACAGAGGAGTTTGAAGGCAGAAGAGAAATATGACTCACTGGAGAAATGTCTCTCAGGCAGTTGGTGGAAGATGTAACTGAAAATAAAGTCAAGTCAGAAACATAAAGAGAATGCAAGGTTTCTAGAATAATCCATGCAGATCAAAGACCTGGCCCATAGGATACCAGATATGGGTGTGTGAGGGGATAATGAAAAGGCTGGTATGGTACAGTTTAGGTAAGGATTAGACACAGGGAAATGAAGAAGAGAAGGTGTTTAGTGCAACCTCCGAAAGTACATATATAGAAAGAACAGGTCTGAGACTAGGATACGTATGCCTTTCAATCCTATAGTTTATTCTTTCTGAAAAATTGAATTTTGCTTATGTATCTCTTAAAAGCTGGATTCTACAATCATATAATATCTAAGGAATCGTATGTAGTTTCTATTAAGAGTCAAAGAAGACACAGGGATTAAAATAGACCTGAACCTCAATACAAATATATTTTCCTCTTCGTTTTTTTAATTCTTATTTTTAAATTTTAAGTGGACACAATATCTTTATTTTACATTTTTGTGGTGTTGAGGATCGAACTCCATGCCTCAGGCATGCTAGATGAGCACACTACCGCTGAACCACAACCCCAGTCCCATATTTTCCTCTTCTTAAACTGAAAGTATTTAGAAGAGAGTTTGAATTCTCCTGGGTAAAACACTTCCTGTCTGTAGTTCTATCTGCTAAGTAATGAAGTCATTCTTTTTCTAAAGTTGTCACCCAAATATCAAAAGTTCTCAACTATTAACTTACCAGTGATGTTTTTCAGAGAATGCGGTCAATCCCCAGCTGTGTTCCAAGGGAAGAAACACATACAATACATTAAAATGATAATTTTTATGAGGCTAAAAAACAGGATTAGATATTAGAAGATAATATTTAATGGTGGCAATGCACGATAAAGTAGATTTATACAAGTAATGATTCAATATGTACCTCTAGGTAAATGCTAAATGTTTATAAAGATTTGCTACACATTTATACAGGCGGAAGGGAGAGGAAGGATTCTTGCAACGGGGCAGAGGGGAAAATCTGTGAGAAGATACTCTTAAGTGAATACTATGGTTTGGATGTGGTTTGTTCTCATTGGTCCTTGTGTTGAGGGCTTGGTCCTCAGTGTAGTGATGTCTGGAGGTGATGGAACCTTTAAGCTGTGGGGGAATATTGGAAGGTCCTTAGATTACTAGGCACATGTCCTTGGAAAAGATCAACGTAGTTTTCAAGCAATCCCTCAGTAGTTCTCAGGAGAGGGTTGTGATAAAACCCTAAGCCTAGCCCCAACCAGCTCTCTGGCTTCCTCTTTGGAGATAGGAACACGAGAATCTCCACACATTCCCACCAGTGCCACCCACTATGATATGGCACTGCTGAGAGGATCCGGTGAGAAGACAGTCCATATAGGTACCATTCCTTTGACCCTCCCAAACTGTAAACTCTCATCTTATTTCAGCCATTTTCTTAAAGACAGTTGTCCTTACTCAGTGAATCAGTCAATTTTGTGTTACCCTAAGTAGTTTGCCTTAGGTGTTTTGTTATGGTAACACAAATATGTAAAATATAAAAAGAGTCCACATTTTCTGTACCATATATCTAACACATTGAGTAAAAACAAATGTCTGCAGGCAGGCACAATGGCACATGCCTGTAAGCCCAGTGGCTCCAGAGACTGAGAGGCAGGAGGATCATGAGTTCAAAGCCAGCCTCAGCAAAAGCGAGGCTTTAAGCAACTCAGTGAGACCCTGTCTCTAAATAAAATGCAAAACAGGGTTGGGGATATGACTCAGGGGTCGAGTGTCCCTGAGTTCAATCCTTGGTACCAAAAACTAAACAAACAAACAAAACCAAATGTCAGCACAAATGGCTGGAATTATATATATTTTGGGGGAAATCAATGAATATGATAGTTGTAACACAGGTATATGTGCTGACCTTGGAAAATAAGTATGGAGAGAAAAATAAGGAAATTTGTGGTAATAGAATCTGAGAAGTCAGCAAATGCAGTTCATTAAAATCTTGTTTCATGATATTAAGAAAAATATTTCTGTGAGCATTAATTATCTAACCGAAATGATCTGTGATATGAAATTGTATGTAAAGTGAATGCTGGGGTAAATCAAGTGTTATAGAAGCCCACAAAATATAAAATATAAAAGGAGTCCACATTTTCTGAACCATATATTTGCTGTGTGTTTGGAATACCAAATTTAACATAACAAAAAGGGCAAGTTACATAAAGGCTGAACATTTTCTCTGATATGTAGATGCTAATTCACAAAAAGTGGGGGCTAGGGAAAAATAGAGCTACTTTGGATTAGGCAGGAGGGAGTGAAGGGAGGGAAGAGGGCATGGGGATAGGAAAGATAGTAGAAAGACTGAGACATTACAACCCTATGTGCATATATGATTACACAACCGGTGTGATTCTACATCATGTACAATCAGAAGAATGAGAAGTTCTAGTTCATTTGTATATGATGTGTCAAAATGCATTCCATTGTCATGTATAACTAATTAGAACAAATAAAAAAAATGACTTAGGCAAAAAAAAGTGTTGGGGGGTTACAGACTAGGACCAAAATATTTGAAAAGCCAAGTATCAAAAGCCTGGAGGGCAGCGTTAGCTTTCTTGTGGGTAGATTTCTTGTGGGAAGAGTACTTACACCCCCAGGCAGTGTTGGTCCCAATCAAGATAAGAGGAGGAACCCTCATCCTCCTGAGGATTTCTTGCTTTACTTGAGGAAGATTACCAAGGAGCTTGGCACAAATCTCAGTGGGAACTTCTCCCCTCCTTATCTACTACACAGTTCCCTGATCTGCTACAGAGGTACAACTCAAGAAATCTGCCTAAAATTTACTTCACAGAAAGTTAAACTCACGTCACTGATCTCTAAATCCTGCAATGCACTTACTTTCCTGACTTTTTTTCCTTTCAACAACCCTTTGTTTTCAGACTTTACCTGGTTGGAGGCTTCATTTTCTTCTTCACACCAAGATAAAACTTCATTGCACTGAGAGGAAACATTTTGTCATATTTACTGCTCTGTAAAGGAAAAAAAAACCAAAACGGCAATTGAACAGTTTTTATAATGAAACAAGTATTTTTCTTGACATTAATAACTGGGTTTAGAATTATTTAGTTTCTCCAATGCTTCATAAATTTAATAAAAATTTTAATAAATGAAGTGTCTTAATTACAATGTAATTAAATAAATGCTTTTAAATAATCTTGTATATACACATCCAAATGTCCCTTGGGGACAGATGTACATCAGAACTGATTTTTTTCATATTTTAAAAATATAACAAAATCATTTGCCATATATTATGTAACTTTATCACACCAACTGTATTATCTGAGGGCAGTACACTGTATTAAAATACATTCAAAATTCTGTAATGAAATGCATGACATTTTATACAATGTGAGCAAAATACAACTCTGTATATATTCATGTTAGTTGGGTCAAATTTTGGCACTAGGTAATACATGATTTTCTGGACATTTTTAATTTCAAAGACTATGTATTCCTATGGACACATATTTAAGCTATCTTAAATATCATCTCTAATAATAATTTATTCAAGTTTAGCTGAAAAAATAAACATTTTACCATAGATTAACTGAATTGTATTTTCTCCACAAATTTCCTAACACATTTATCTGTGCTTAAGTAAAGATTTAAAAAGTTTTAAAAGATGTGTGAATATATATTCACATAGGTAAATTATTTGACATAGGCAAAATTTTAATCAGTATATTCTAACTTAAAGCCTAATATAATAATCACATAGATCTCATCATTCACCTTTGGATATTCTATAAAAGATTTTACAAAGAGGATAACTATGGGAATAATTTATAACACAACTTTCTCCATATCTCAAACATTTGCAAGGAAATCTTTTTGTTTCATACTGGTATGCAGATATCATTTATAACTAAAAGTGATGGATTTGAGTTCAGAAAGACTATGGTATAAATCTGGTTATACCTTGTTAGTTTGTAATTTTACTTAAATTTCTCTGACTTAATTTTCTTGTTTGTGAATAAGGATGGTAAAATTATTGACCGTATAAATTGGGTTATTATGAAGATTAAATGTACAAAGTTTTATTGTGAAGGGTTACTGTAAAAATAAAACAAAAAATGCCTATAAAGGGTATAGTCCACTAATTGCATAAAGTGAGCTCAAAGAAAATAATAACTATCATTGTTATAAATTTAGAACACAATCTCATAAAATTTTGAAATATGGGTATTTTTTAGGATCCTGGGACAATGCACAGATGCCAATGTAGCAAATGTACAGCTCTACTGTACTAAGTTCTATATTATGTCTTTTCTTTGTAACAACAGTTAAATTTGAAAAGTAAAGGGTAGAGAACTTTTTTTTTTTTTTTTTTTTTGGTGGTGCTGGGGATTGAACCCAGGGCCTTGTGCATGTGAGGTAAGCACTCTACTAACTGAGCTACATCCCCAACCCAAGAACATGTTTATAAAACGAAAAACTGGTTTCCATGTAGCAAGCAGGTTAGGAGAGTACAAAGGAAAAATATATAGCTAGGTAATCAGAAATATGATAAAGAGCAATGCTCTGGTGAACAACAGTCTCTGTGGCAGGAATCATAAAGTCCACAGTGGTGAATTTATTTCTAATCATTAGTTAGTATCACTAAATTTGTTATTTTTATCACCAAAGATATTTTTAAAAATATGTATCTTGGATTTTTTTTCCTTACTGTTACAGATAGATTTTTTCCTTACTGTTACAGATAGATTTCCAGATCTGCAGACACTGGGAAATGGGTTAGGAACATCATTAAGAATTAGATTTTTGCCAAGATGGACTGACTTATAAAGTTTTGGTTATGCATTTACTAGCCATTTGTAGTTTTGATATGTCAACAATTTATCCATGTCTTTATTTATTTTTTTGCACTACTTCTTTATATATTAAACATGACATTATGTGTCTCTTAAGTGAAATATTCTATTCCAATTGCTATCTGCCATAATTTTGCTCACTGTTTACTTCCATTATTTTTATTAAGTCAAATATATTGATTTTTTTCTTTTAAAGTTTCTTAACTTTTATTTAAGTTTGAAGTGGTCTGACACATCTGATACTCAGTTCCATGCTCTTATACCTTCAAAGGTTGCTATCTTTAAAATTTTTAAGTCATCAATTTAGAATATATTTTTATTTCTCCAGATAGTGGAGACTTTAAATTGAAATTTTTTTGACAATTATTCCACCTCATGCACTTTTCATAGAATATTTATTCAAAAAATAAATCCTAATATCTAATTCTCTTAAGTGACTTTATAGTACCATTCTTCTATGGTATGTTCACTTTTATGGTAGGATTATATTATTTAAGCTATTTTAGCTTTAACATATATCTTTTTAAAAATTTTAAAAAATTATTTAAGCACATACTTTATTAGGAAATAAACAGGCCTAACCTAGTATTCACTTTCTTTTTTTTATTCTAATTTGTTATATATGACAACAGAATGCATTACAATTCATATTACACATATGGAGCATAATTTTTCATATCTCTGGTTGTATATAAAGTATATTCACACCATTTGATATATCTATAAATAGTTGGAAAAACAGAAAATAGAAAATAGTTGGGAAAATAGATCACAATTGTTTAATTTTTTTATCCCCCGATTGCAATTATTCTCACTTATTTGAAGTAGATTATCATTACTGCAAAGTATTAAAACACAACTCCCTTTGAAAATTTGAAAAGGATTATAGTTATGATCAATCGATATTAGAGAGGTTAATATTTTACTTCTATCAGTGAATTTCTATAATTTTCCTCAAATTAGTCTCTACTTCTTGGTAAGGTCATTTTTTGATAGTCTATGCACTTTTTTTTTCTTTTACGTCCCACAGGGACTGATTTCTGACTTTGCGACCTGCTAACTTTCTCAACTTTCAGAAAGAACATTCCAAAATTTGGATGATCTATTACAGAATAGTTGGGTGGCTTGCTTTGGTGCTCAGCATCCCATTGTAAGAGATATTCAAAGAGAAAGCTGACTTTTAGGAAAATGCAGCAGAGGTGACTGCTGGCCACCTTTGTCAGAGGTCAATCAGATCACAGCCAATATGTCCTCTCTGATAGTTCAGACAGTCATTCCCTTGGACACAGTACCAACAAATAGCAGTGGGGTAGGGTAAGAGGCAGCAATTCCAATAGAACAGGGAGGGTGGCCACGCATGTGTAAGGAGGAGAAATACAAAAAACAGTGACGAGTTCAGGCTTGCCTACGTTTTGAAGACCTTTTGTTAAGAGGTTGATAATCTAAAGTAACACAGTGAATTCCCCGAGCCACTTCTGGCACCCAAGTTCATTATTTTATAATATATTCTTTCTAAAAAAAAAACACCAATAAAATCATCAGAGAGATCAACAATTGTGAAAAGAAATATTTTTTTTGTTGCAATCTTTAAAGTGAATATGCATGAAGAGGAACTGGAAAGATACTAATAAAACAGTCTTTATAAAAGGAAAATCACTTGGCAAGATGAATTTACCACTGGCATATTACAACTCTCTCTTTTGGTGTATATAATTTCTGGATAATTCCTCCAAAAAGTTCAATGCACTATATACTGTTATAAAGTCTGTAATCTGTTGCTTGAACCACCACATTTCAAAGTAAAACTTTTAACTAAGCCAATTAAATAAGCATGCTTGAAAAATTATTCCTGTAGCTAAAAGGAGTTTGCTTATTAGTGTGTGCAACTTTTAACGACCCCCTTTACTTACTTGCTTTTTTCACACTATTAACAGTATCATGGCAATATTCTTTGAAACCTCTCACCTTTTATGTAAATCAAGTCTGAAAACATTTTAATTAACATTTTTCTGTGCAGGGAAAACTTGCAAAACAAAATATACCTTCCCCTGTGTATTACCCTAATTTGTTGTTAATGAACATTCATAAATTATCTCTAATTAACACAAAGTTGCTTTAAATACACTTCTCAATTTGGAATTTCGACTCCCTTCTCAGGAAATCATTTTTTAAATACATACAAGTACAGATATATTAATGGCAAATGTCAAAACACAGCCAAATCTTTACTTAAGTTGGGGGATTTTACCATTGATTATTACTTGTGCAACTTCTTGAAAAGTTAATACTGGCAATGACTTCACCATCAATATAAATAGGGACTTATGTTCAATATGAAAAAATCACTGGCAAAGTAAAACTATGTGTTGAAAATAACAGTAACTTTAGTTTAAAGAAAAACAATCTCTCATCTGCTTTCTTCACTGTGCAAATTAAAATATCAGTTGCATTAATAATTTATTCTGACAGATGTGTAAATGAAAATTTTAAACATTTACTAATTAGACTATAAACCCTTAATCTGTTGTCACTGTGATTTAAAGAATAAATGTGCTTGGTGTCCTTAAAGAACACTACCTTTCAGACAGGGTACTAGCACACAGCAGTTTGTGTAAATTATCTTAGAGCAAGATGATCCTTTTAAAGGCATACAAATTCTTAAAACAAATTCCGTTCAGGGATATATATAATTCTTCATCTCAGAAAAACCATCTCTTAAGAGTCACTGCTCCATGAACTAGTTTCTTTGAGGCAGATAGCAGAGTTTACATCAGCTTGGAGGATAATTATGAATAATTAAATTGTATGCATAACCATGTTTCAAAATATTTAGTACCATTTAATGAAAAAGAGCTATCCTTTTAAAATAAAATCTTGTGAACAAAAACAGCAAGCTAAAATAATGCGAATTCTTAAGGTTTTTAGTAAGTTCTTTCATAGAGCCTTTCAAATCTGACACCTGAGAATGAATTCTGACTCTACTACTTACTTGTTATGTGGTCTTGGGCAAGTTTGTAATGTCTTTGTGGCTCTATTTATTCATATGCAAAGTAGGAATAATCACAGTACTGATTTTATGTTGTTGTTTTTTTTTTAATAAAGATAGCATGACATAATCCCAGTGAAATGGACAGAACTCTGCTTTGCCTACAGTAGCCATCTGGGTGTTAGCTGGAACTATCACTACCATTGTGACTGCCATCACTACCACTAATGACAACTAGTTGTTTCTAGTGACCTTCCCCTGATGCACAATGGAAGAAGTTTCCTTGGTAGGACTAAAAAGCTCAGGCTGATTTTTTAATGCTTCAAGCTGACACCCAACTCAAAGTACCTAATGACTAACATATTATGTATATGAAAGAACAATTATTAAGGAAATCAGCCCAGAAGACCAAAGTGAGTGGCCTATTATCAGAAACCAGAAAATTTTTCTTTATCAGATTCTATATGACTAAAATAATGATCTGTAAAGTCTAGCTTTAACTTGTACAATCACAAAATTTATGAACCTTAAAATCAGGTGTGCTCTATTCACATAGCTCCAAATCCTTGTGCCTTATTTCTACAAATTCTACTATCCTTCTCCTGATAAAACTAAAGGATGATAATAAACATTAACAACCATGTGATAAGGCAGTCCCTTCTGGGTGTGTCAAGTGGAATAGTAAGGTTTGAGTACAGTATATAATACAATTTCCTGAGTAGAGGAACAAAAGTTGCAGAATTTCAGGATCTTCTGTTGTCCTCCTGGTTGTACATTCCACTGCCCTGGAAGAAGGCAAATGTGGGATGTACAAAGAAAGTAAGAATGCTGCTAAAATTGATTTATGCCCACACAGAGGCTGCCCTACTCCCTACTGGAAGAATATATATATATAAGGAAAGCAGTTATAGCATGTGGAGACTCAAGGAGCTCAAGAGAAGCCACACAAAAAAAGGGAGGGAGGGAGAGGAGGGAGGGAGGGAGAGAGAGGGAGAGGGAGAGGGAGAGGGAGAGGGAGAGAGGGAGAGAGAGAGAGAGAGAGAGAGAGAGAGAGAGAGAGAGAGAGAGAGAGAAAATGGGGCTACATATTTGGAAAGCAGCCTCATAGTGTTTTTTTTTTTTTTTAAATAATATATTAACAGATGTTCTAGGTCTGGTTATTCTCTGTACATTCCCACAGCAGAACACGGTCAAGTGTCATTCACTTAAAAAATGCAAGCAATGTTTACACAAGGAAATACTCAGTATAAAGTGAATATTTAGTATAAAAACAGTCTCCAGCACCTGATGACTGCCATTCTACATTGAAAACAATGGCCTTGGTACCATATGAATCTCAAGAAGAAATGTTACTGTATACAATCCTGTGACCCACATCCACAACAGGATGGAGAAATTGCCCTACTGATCTTTCCATTGGAAATTTCACAGCAATTTTCTATCCAACTCCCCAAATTTTCTGACTTCTGTCACCATAGAATGGATTTGCATATGGTACTATTTTGCACCAAGCTTCTTTTGTTTAACAGGTTTCGAACATTCACCAATATTGCTGTATGCATTAGAATCCAATCATTTTTATTGATGAGTTGAATTCAATCCTACGAATGTTGCATTTTTTTTTTTTTGTTAGACATTTGGAATGTTTCTAGGCTTTAGTTTTTACAAATAAAACTAATAATAAGGATGTAGTACCTATGAATAGAATTAATGGATCATGGGTAAAAGAAAAAAAAAAACTTATTTTAAAAACTGCTGCCAGGTACAGTAAGGCATACCTGTAATCCCAGCAAGCTGGGAGGCCCAGGTAGGAGGATTGCAAGTTCAAGGCCAGCTTTGGATACTTAGAGAGACCCTTATCAACTTAGTAAGACTCTGTCTCCAAAAAAAAAAAAAAAGTGTGGGGTTGGCATTATAGCTCCGTGGTAAAGCACCTCTCTGTTCAATTCCCAGTATCAGAACAAAACAAAACAAAAACAAAAAACCCTGCTAAATCTTTCTACACAGTAATTGTGTGATCTTATCCTTCCACAACAATTTATTTATGAGAGTTCTAGACAATCTGCATTCTTGTTAACACTGGGGTTTTCACTCATGATTTAGGTTAAATCAATGAGTACAAAGTAGTACCTCAGGGTTTTATTTATTATTTTTTCTTTCTTCTTCTTCTTCTTTTTTTTTTTTTTTTTTACAGACAGGATGTCAGTGAGTTGCTCAGAAGAGCCTCGCTAGGTTGCTGAGGCTGGGTTTGAACTTGCAATCCTCCTGCCTCAGCCTCCCGAGTTGCTGGGATTACAGGAGTGCACCACTGCACCCAGCTATCATGGTTTTAATTTCAATACCCAAATAACTAATGATATTAATCACTTTTAGTCCAATGGCTAATTGGACTTTTCTGTATGTTCCTTCCAGTGGTATCTGTTCAATCCTTTGCTCTAATGTTTATTAGGCTGTTTTTTCTTATTGTTGCTTTGGAAGAGTTCTTCATATCCTGGATATGTGCTATGAATATTTTTTTCATCCTGGGACTTCTCTATTCATATTATTAATGGCATCTTTTAAAAAATTATTATTTTTATGTGGTGCTGAGGATGGAACCCAGTGCCTCACACATGCCAGGCAAGTGCTCTACACACACAACCCCAGCCCTTAATGGCATCTTTTGAAGAGCATGCTACAATTATCATAGATACTTGTGAAATATTTCATCTTAAAATGTATTTTTACATACTTTCTTGTTTAAGCATTAAAGCCACCAGGACTGCTGGACACATACTACTACTGTCATTTTACAGATTCAGAATTTGAGGTTGAGAGGTGAAGCTCCTTATTCACACAACCAGTTCTTAGTGGATATAAGATTTTCTAATGCTAAGTTCAATTTTCTCATAGCTACAGCATTTATCTAACTCCCTGTATTTATTTTTAGTTCTCCATTCTATAATTATCTAATAAAGTTCTTCAGGGAATTCGAACTTAGAGGAAATAAGATTAAATGAATAAATATGACATTACATGAATCACTTCATTGAAATTTGTTGGAAAGACATTAAGATTTATTATAATGTTTGAATTTTGCCCTTCTATGCCACTTTTCATTAATTTCCATTAGCTAAACTTAAGCCTCTTTTGCCTTAGGGTATGACACATTTTCTCTTAATTTTATTGACTAAGATCCAAATTTATACGCTAGTTTATGCAATACATTTTAAAGCTTTCTTCAGGGCTTAAGTTATTCTCTGTCCTAAAAAATTTAAGATGCTTAGATAGGCCATAGAAAATTCTCCCCTGTTATTACTGAGTACACTAATGCATATCCAGAGGCTGAAGGAAATCATCAGCTTACCATGCATTTTATTTACTGCAGGCAGGGACTTCGACATAGATGGCTGAGAATGGTATGTAATGAATGCATCAATACCCAAATAAAAATGTATGCATGCTCAAATCTGACTCATACAATTACCTTTGGATCCTTGTAAAGAAAAAGGTGTCCATCCCGTAAGACAAAATAGCGGTCTTGAAACTTATTTCCAGACAGTATTTTGGATGGTTCTTCTTTGATTTTCAAGACTCCTTCTTTGATACTTTTCTCTGTGAAATACAGCATTACTTCTGTAAGTTGGGTACATTTTCACTTTATTCAGAGTACAAGAGAAAACATTTGCTTACTTTCAGTTTTGACAATACAAAACAATAACCGTTACCACAAAATAGTTAAGGTGAGTTCCTGGGGAACACCTTTCGTCCAGGGTATTGCTCTTTATGCTCTACAGGCCCGCCAGGTCCATCCAAGTGCATGGACACAGAAAAGGCGGTAAGTCTGAACTGAGGTGTGCTGAAGGTATAAAATATATACCAGATCTTGAAGACTTTGTTCAATTAAAAAGTATCCTGTCACTATTTTAAATGTTGATTAGATGTGGAGGTATTTTGCATATGCAAATAAATAAAACATTAGTAAAATAATAAAATTAATTTCTCCGTTTTTTTTAATACTTTTCTCAAAATGTGGCTACGACACAATTTAAAAGTACATGTGTGAATTCTATTTCTATTGAACAGCGCTAATATAAAAAATGCAAATAAAAGAAAACATCTTCAGAAATTCAAACTCAGGAATCTAGGAATTCTAACTCAGGGATTCTAAGGGATTAGAAAAATTACTGTAAATATGAGATAGGCCAGAGTCAGAAAGGCTGCAGTAGAATATTTAACAACAATTATATTTCATGAGCAATGCTGTCATTGTTCCATGCTTAGAAATTGCTTAAACTAATTCTATTAACAACTACTTTCTGGTAAGAACACTAAAATTTGTATTTGTATCATATGGATGATGAATCACCTGTCTAAAAGGTTCCCATGAAATCCAGATATTCAACTGACAAGAACTGAAGAAGAGTAGGGGAAAAAAAAAAAAAAACAGGATCTTGAGTCAAATGACCATTACACGGTCATTCTGGTGTCAGCATCTGCTTTTCCCATAAACCAGAAGTAAAGATACCTATTCTGCAGGACTGCTGTGTCCCTTACATTGGAAAATATACCAAAAAAAAAAAAAAAAAAAAAAAGCCATAGGGCAAAACGCTGCTATCAGGATTTAAAATATCCACGCATAGTTTCTGTAATTTGCAAAATAACTTGAAAGGTTTCAGAAAGAATTCTTAGATTTAAAGCTAATAAGCTTTAGGTTTTTTTTTTTTTAGATAAAACCTTTATTATGACTTGTATCAGAAAATAAAGTTTAAAAATAGGTTAAAAAATATGAGCATGGCATGACTAAATGAAAGCAAAAAATCTGGATTAAATCTGACCATAAACAAGAACACAAACATAGATAATTAGCAAAACCAGATGGTGTTAATGACACATATACCAGCATGTACTAAATCATATGCCAACAAAGGTTCCTTTTAGGTATTTTATGACTATAAAATAATTACTTAAAATGTTCTACTAAAATTTGTCTTCTGGTACATTATCTTAATACTCTGTTATGTAGAAACATATTGTTAGGGTATTTTACAGGTAAATAAGGAAAGATATACAGCAAGCAATTTAGGAAACACTGGATGGACTTAATGCTTTGGCTGAATTAGAATAGGAATGTGAAGAAATCCATATAATATTATTAGTTTAAAAGTAGGCAAAGAATTTTAAAAGCTAAAATTACATTGTGAGATATATTTTATATTGCTTACGCCAGACAAAACCCACTCAATTCTTCTGATGATACTCATCATTTTAATTATTGTTCAAATTAATAAACATCTAAAATCTTACCAATAAGAAAAAAAGCTAAGGCCTATTGTCTAAATGACCCATTCATTGGTCAAAGAGAAAGCAGGCTTAGGGAAAAAAATACCCATTTCTGACTTTGGGTGTATACTCATTAAAAATTTATTTTAATAGTAATTGTATGTAATCCAGTATGTTAGCTATATATTACTAAGGGAAACCAGAGGTAAGCTTTGAGAAGAAAATATGTTAAGGATGAGGGAAGAACACAAAGTAATTTGCAATATGAAATCTGAATATAAATGTTAAGAATATAAACAGCTTTCTAAAAGTTCTCACACCTAAATTTCTGTCTGCTTTTAAGATGTTATAATAAATTAAAAGATATCTATTTAGTAAGGGCGAAAATAAAGGTGCACATACACTTTGTTGGGCATTGTGCATGGTTGGAAGTAACAAAGTCAAGGTTATAGATTCAATATTTCCAGTAATTCACACTTCCATGCTGGTTAGCTACCGCATGGTCCCTAAACTTGGGGAGATTTTGCTCATACATTTGACTCTCTCCATCTTATCCCCAACAGAACATTCCCTGGCTCTAGATTAATCTAGCTCAGCAAACAAAAAGTGCATATCAGTTGGGTCCACTGTGACTGCTCTCTAGGTGCTGTCAGCTCTGAGTTCAACTCTAGTCTGTTGGTATGAAATTTTCTTGGCTTGCATGTACCACTAAGATCTTCATAGTATGACAGCTTCCTCATAATTCTTGAGTTCTGGTAAGAACTCTGTGCTATGTGTCTCTGTGCTATGCCTTTGGAAACTCTCTTTGGAATCCTGTGATACCTGGACTGTTCCATAACAGTCATATTTTTCTAACTCCTCACTTCAGAGTACTAATATTTCCAATGTTATATAAGCAAAATTTCTAGCCAAACCCCTTACTATATAGTCATTCCATATTCATCATGTTCTCCTGATCTAATCAGAAGGTCAGGTATCACATAATCATATGGTCCTATTTTTCCTATTTTGTTTCTCCTCCTCTTTTATAACCGTCCCTTGCTACATCTCTAATGCATTAGCTTTGTTCACATTTTGAACATCCTGAACTTTGGATCTCCTTTGTTTTTCTTGTGGTTAGTTTATCTAAGGGCTTACCAACTTTGTCAAAGAGCAAACTTTTCTTTGCATTGACCCTTTGTAATTTTTTAATTGTCAATTTCATTGATTTTGGCTCTGACTATAATAATTTCCTTTCTTCTAAAGGTTTTGGAATTAGTTTGTCCTTCTTTCTCAAGGGTTTTGAGATGCATCAATAGGTTATTTATTTGGGATTTTTCTGATTTTCTTAAATAGGCACACACAGCTACAAACTTTCCTCTTAGAACACCCTTCATAGTGCCCACTAGTTTCAGGTACATTGTAGCTTTGATTTTAAGAATTTTAAATTTCTACTCTGCTTCTTCTGTCCTCCATTAAACATTCAAAAGTATAATGTTCAGTTTCTCAGTGTTCATATAGTTTCTGCAGGGTTATTTAATTATTTTGGTGTTGATTTCTAAGCTTATTCTATCATGATCTGATAGAGAGTTGCTTGGTGGCTTAAAATATTGTCTAGCTCGGAGAAGGTTCCCAAATATTGAGAAGAAAGTGGATTCATCTATTGTTAGATGAAATATTCTATAGATGTCTGTTAAGTCCATTTGATTTAGAATATTTTTCAGGTCCAAAGAGTCTTCACTACATTTATATCTACATGGTGTATCTATTGATGAGATAGGTGTGCTTAAATAAATTGTACTGGGGTCTGAATCTTTAATTCTACTAATGTTTTAAGCAATTAGGTGCAATAGCGTTCGGAGCAGTGTGCAACTATCATTGTATCTTTTGTTGAAGTGTTCCCTTTTTGCTTGTGAGTCTCTTGCAAGGAATATATAGTTGGGTCTTGTCTTTAAAACTCATTTTGCCAACCTATGTCTTTTATTTGGAAAAGTGAGACCATTTACATTCAATGTTATTATACAGAGGTATTTATTAATTCTTGGCATTCTAATTTCTTTTTTTTTCCATCTCAACAAAAATCCTCTTAAGACCATTCTGTTATATTTGCAAACACACATTAATTTACATACTAAATAATACACGAAATTTCTTGAGAGTTTAAAATGAGATCTTTCCAATCTTTTCATCTTTAGAATTCCCAAACTTTTCTTTCTGTGCTTTTTATGTTGATATCTAACTTGTCCACTTTAGTTGTGAGTTGGTCAAGAATGTCATCTTGCTCAATTTCTGTATTTATCCCTAGGGCTATGTGCTTGAGACCACCTAGTCCCATTGACAGTTCATCTAGGTTGCTGTCAATTTTCTGTTGATAGGCTTGAAGATGTAGGCTCTTTGGATAAAAGCATCTGTACTCATAGCAGAAATCAGGCCCTCCAAAGACAGAGCCTATATTATTTAGCTTTCTGAGGTTTGGGTGGCTGGGTTGGTACTTTGTCTCCTGTTCTGTACTTGTATTTATGGCTTCTTTTAATCTGCTGTTCTCCTGGGGAGTGGGCATACCACTCTATTCAGGTAGGGTCTCTGTTGATTTGAATTTGAAGTAACTGATGAGCCCCCAAACACACTTAATGCTACTGATATGTTTCTTACCCGTCTTCATATCTTGATCCATTTTGTCTACCATTTTTTTTTTTCTGTGTGTTCTGGTACTACTAGCTGCTAAACTAGTTCATAAGGGACAGAGACCTAATAGTGTTGGTGGCTCTGGCCTCTTCCCTGCACAGCACATCCTACCATAGGTACTGGTGCCTATCGGCAGGTGCTTTGGGTCTATGAGGGAAGTTGCAGGCATCCCTCCAACTGGCTGGATGAGAGTCTTTGTCTTCCTCATACAAAGGGCTGTAGTTTTTTGGGTAGGCAGACATGGTGCCAGTGAGAGTCTCTGTCAGGGAAAGAGGAAAAATGTGGCTAGCAGTGACCAAGAACTGTGCCCTGTCCTTCAATCCTCCAATCTGACTTATTTATAATGTTTAACTTGGTACTTTTTCTTATCTCCTTACCTGCTTTTCAAATGAGATTTGTTCATTTGAGAGTTGTGGGTTTTGTTCGTGAAGTTTCTTTTTAAAGGTATTTTCTGCATTACTAGCTTAATGATCATGAATTCTTCTAGTTTTTGCTAATCTTGGAAGGTTTTTATTTCTGGTTTTGAAGGATACTTTTGCTAGATATAGTCATCTTGGTTGACAGTTATTTTCTTTCAGGAATTAGAAGACATTATTCTAAGCCATTCTGGATTTTAGAATTTGTAAGAAGAAGTCAGAAGGAATTATGATTGACTTGTCTGTAAATGTGACCTGATATTTTTTCTTAAGACTTTTAAATTTCTTTGTTCAGTATGTTAGGCATTTTAATTACAATATGTTGTCAAGAGGTTCTGTTTTGATCTTGGCTACTTGGAGTTCTAAATGCCTTCTGTCTATGGATGTCTCCTCTTCTGAAGATTTTGAAAAGTTTTCTGTTATTATTTCCCAGAAAAGATTTTTCATTCCATTAGCCTGCATCTCACAATGTTCTTCAATTCAGATGATTTTTATATTTCATCTCTTAATATTGACCCAGGGTTCTTTTGTATTCTGGTCATAGTTACTTCTTTAATGTTTCTCTTTCTGAATGTTAAAGGCCAAACATTTCATCTTCCATCTCAAAGACTTTGTCTTCAGGATGGCCTATTCTATTAGACTTTCAACTGAACATTTTGATTTACTGTGTCTTACAGGGAAACACAGCAACAGGCTGAAAGTGGAAGGATGGAAATTGATATACCATGAAAATGGAGCCTGACAACAAGCAGGAAGAGCTACTCCTAGGTCCAAAAAAAAAAAAAAAAAAAAAAACAGACATCAAGCCAAAATCTTTGCCAGTTGCTTTTCTGACAGGGTAGTAATATCTAGAATACACAAAGAACAAACAAACAAACTTAATACACACACACAAAACAATGAATGGGATGAAAAAGACATTTTTTAAGAAAAGAAATTCAAATGGCTAATAAATAAATAAATAAATAAATGTTCAACATCCCTAGCAATCACGAAAATCAAATCAAAACCATACGAGATTTCTTCTCACTCTAGTTATACTGGCAGCCATCAAGAAGACAAAGAATGAATAAATGCTGTTGAAATGAGAAAAATGTGCGTTTGTGTTAGTGGAACTGTAAATTAGTACGGCGACTCTGGGAATCAGTATGGAGGTTCCTCAAAAGACTAGGCATGGAACCAGCATACAGTGCAGCTATATCACACCTTGGTATTTATCCTGAAGAATTAAAGTCATCATACTATAGTGATACATGCATGCCCGTGTATACAGCAGCCTAATTCACAACAGTCAAACTATGGAACCAGCGTATATGTCCATCAACAGATGAATGCATTAAAAAATGTAGTATATATGCTCAATGGAGTTTCTTCAGCAATAAGGAAGAGTAAAATTATGTCACTGGCAGGGAAATGGATAGAACTTGGAAATATTATGTTAAATGAAATGAGTTAAATTTAAAAAGTCAATGGTCATATATTTTTTCTAAGGGAAAAGAAAGGCAATAGTCAAATCTTATGAAAATCAAAGGGAAATGAGTAGAGTAGAGGTAGGCTCCAGAAGGAGGGAACAGGGCAGAATAAGGGAAAATACTGGGGAATGATATTGGACAAAGTGTATTGTTATATCATGTGCACATATACATATATACCAGAAATCCCACCATTATGTATACTATAATGCACCAATAAAAAATAAAGAAAAAGCTTTTAAAATAAATCTTAAAAAGTTCTTCCTAATATAAAATTGGGTATGATTTCCTTTGTTTGGTATTTATTCCATAGAAAATATATATTTCTTTAATTTGGAGGAAGCAGAATTACTAATACATTTTCACTCATTGTTTTACATTCATTCAAAATGAATTTCACAAAAATTTAAATATACAACTGAGAGAACACCAACGTTGACATAATAGCTTCTTGAAACTAAACTATTTCTCCCTTCCATTGTTTTATTGACACACGAAGATTTATGTTAGAACACAGTGGTTGAGATTTCCTTAATTCTGTAGTAGATAATAATAAAAACTAAGACTAGTAGATACAACAATATTGGGATACTGCAAGGAATAAATCTATTTCATAGGATAGCCAACTATACTCCCCATCACCACCACATTCCCAGTTGATTTTCCTTTTTGTTATTTTATGGAAGAGGATAAGATTAATAGAGCTAGAGGTTTAATGACAACTTTTGGTACATAATTTTCCATAAATAGTTAAATTATAAGTGTAGTTACTACTGAAACATAATTGATTAGAAAAGTGCAAGAGGCTCTTGAATTCTGTCTTCTATACTGAGACAAGAAGAACTGAACAAAGAATCATATTTCCCTGAATAAGAGACATTCAGTGTTGAAAGAGATGTCAAGGATAATCTACTTGAATTGTGTTTCAGCACTCTCCATAAACATCCTGGCCTGAAATACTCATTTATCTCATGCTGTGTTTGTACCCTTGTATTTAAATAGGCTTCATATATTTAGATTTTCTGTTCCCACTGGGTAAAGATAATGCTTAACAAACCTTTAAATTTTCTATCTTGGAATTCTATATGAAACAGAAAGCTAATAAAACTCACCAATTGGTTTTTCCACTAGAGAGTCGCACTATCAGAGAAAAGATATTCACAGTCTATAGTAAATATAAAGGACTGTTATAAATATTCAAGAAAGTACTTTAAGTGGGCTGGATCTTACCTTCAACCTTTTACACATTTTGAATTTAGGAAGATTTAATGGGAAGTGGAGAACAAATAATTTCATGTAGACTATACTTTATGGGCTGCTTTTACTTCTGTCTGAATTTTATTTTATTTTCTTAACTCTATTGACAGTGAAAGTCTTTCCAGGTCTGAATTTTGCCTGAAGCAGTTTTGCATTTTTCATTATTCTAATATAAAATTTAATTCAAAACCATCTGTCATATACAACATCCTATATTTACAAACATGTAGGAATCTTATATTTAAGTTACAAATATATGTTGAAATTATTTCTTCTCTATTTCAATCATTAAGATTTTATTCTCATGAATGAAATTCTATTTGGACAATTTAAATAATTTTAGTGATTAAAATGAGACTTAAAGTAAAATTATTATGGAACCTTAAGAAAAGCTGTTTATAATTTGTGACTGAAAGTTTGAAACTCAATATAAAAGAATTATAGTAAAAGATGGACTATGACAAAGTCTAAATCGCAATTTAAATGAAGTTTTATTATTCCTATCCCAATGTCTCAGCTTATAATCTGTAGAGTAGAAATGAAATTTGGGGTCTATTATCTTTCTTTTCAAGTTAATTAACTCCTCATTACAATAATGGCAATGGCACAAAATGTTTCTGAGAAATAAAATGCAGCTTTTGAAAAACACCAAATTGCTTTTTAAGTAGAGACAAAATAAAATTATTTTATTCTCATATATTTCTATAAAAGTAAAGTATGTTATTTCATTACCTTAACTGAATGAGTAGAAATCAAATGTAAGATGATCCTAAAATCTATTCCTACTTATGATGTCTACATTTTAAATGGTTTATATAAAATGAGAGAATTGAAGAACTTAAAATCCCTAAAGTACAGTGAACACCAAGTTCTTGATTTAGAAAGTGTTGCAAGCATTATGTCAAACAGAAGTATAAACTTATAATTTATCCCTAAAAAAATCAGAAAACTGTCAATAAATCAAAGAAATACATATATGTGTCATATATGTATATAAAACATTTACAGAGAGAAAGTGAGAGAGAGAGAGAGAGAGAGAGAGTGTGTGTGTGTGTGTGTTTTTGCCGTATAGGTATAGTGCAGCATCTTTTATGTTTTGATGTCTATCTGGTTTTTGTTTGGTTTGGTCTTTGTAACTGCTGTTGTTTTGGCATTGGGGTTTGAACCCAGGACCTCTTACATGCTAAGCTCAGCTACCACTGAGCTACATCCCCAGTCTGAACTCTATGTTTTAATACAAGGTAACACATTAGCTATTCATTACTTAGAGAAAATGTGGTTGCATCCAACTACTTTTATATTCAAACTGCTGACTTCTACTTGAACTCTAAGATGGAAGAAAAAAAATCTTAAAAATGGAAAACAGAAATTTTAACATCTTTTCTTTTCTGTTTTGAAGAACAATTATTTCTGAGATCATTTCAGTTTTCCTCCTAGTAAAGTGTCAGAGAAATCACATTTGATTTACTTTCATTACATTCCATTTAGATTCCAATTGTAATATATAGTGTATATAATAAATGAAACAATAATTCAGGAGTAGCTGATCATTGATTGATTAGCAGACATTCACTAAGACAGACAGAGTGGAATAAACACTTATCTTACCCAAAATTGAGCACGAAGTATACCCCATAGCAACCATTAATAAGCTCCAAGTTGCTGTGAGACACACAAAATTATGGGGGGAATTATGACTTAAGATATTGATATTTTTTAAAAAAAATATGAAAGCTAGGATAATCCTAGTTGAAATAAGACAGATGTGAAAAGAAGGATAATAAAAATGATTATTTTGCTTTGATTATCTGAATATCAGTCAAATAACTTTAAATGTTCATAAAATTTTATGGGATAAAAGTATTTTAAATTGGTAATAGCTGACAATAGGAAATGGCTCAATTAACAAATTTATTTTTTAAAATTCCATTCTTTTTCTTGCATAGAGACTTGATGTACTGATAGAAAGAACTATCAGTAGTATAATACCAGATGCTGCATATTGGATTGGCAAAATTATATAGAGATAGTGTAGAACAGGGATTTGTCATTTATAGCTCCCACTCTGTTAGAAGATTGAAGGAGACCAAAAAAAAAAAAAAAAAAAAAAAAGCCCAATGAAGAAGTTTTCTGACATTTTACTCTAGGATAATGCTTTATTTAAATGTCTGAAATTATATCATGTAAGTCTGTCACTTTCTCTCCTCTCCTTGACTTCTCCAGTTTTTATGCAAGATGCTTTGTCTGGCCCTTACAGACCAAATGCTCATCCAACAGAAGGGCTAATTTGTATCACATGTAGAGGATGCAATGAAATATAGCAGTATCACTGTAAAACCCAATCCAATACTCAGTTTGAGAATACAACAAAAATACAACATGTCACTGCATGACATAAAGTTTCTTTTTGCCTTTAAACAACATAGAGGTTTTACTCACATATAATTGCTTTAAATCAACTCATGTATAATCCTGGTTTTTTTCAAGGATTAACAGCACAGAATGATATCCTTGCTTTGGGTTACCCTTAGTCCTACATGACAAAATCTTCCTTTCTTTCATTACATTTTAAGGTCTTATTTATTATAGATTTTTATTCACACAGCCAGCCCTCTAGCATTCAGTTATTATATGTAGGTGTAAATTTCAAACATTTGGCAATGTGGAGAATTAGGGACATTTTAGAAGAATATTTGAAGAAAAAAGAAAATTTTCTTCAGAAAGAAAAAAATTAGATGGAAAACTAAGTTATCCTCTATGAGAAAATAAACCATGGGAAGTGATCACTTGTGTTTCATAATATTGACAGGATATGGCTCAATACTTTTTCATTACCATTTTTTTGGCAGGGAGGGGCATGGAAGTAAAGATTGAATCCAAGACCTTACATATGATAGGCAAATGTTCTATAACTGAGAGCTATATCCATAGCCCATTTTTTTGTTTTGTTTTTCCTAATGCTTTTTCTTTATCCTGATATTAAAATGGAAGAATAACATACTTTTCGAGCTAGAACAGATTTCACAGATTATCTCAATTAAAATTGCCATCTGAATTCTAGGTAATGCCTTGTACAGAGATGCCCTATGTTTGGCAGGATCTTTAGCAGCATCCCTGGTCTGTATTCACTAAATATAGAAGTTCCAGTTTCCCAACCCCTTTCAAGTTGTGACAGTCAGAAATGGCTGCAGGAATTGCCAAATGTCTCTGGATGGCCAAAACATCCCTCGATGAAAACCACCACTGCTCTAAGGCATGGATCCATGATGCACTCTCGTGATTATAGAGACATTATATGGTAATTCCTAAGAATGAATGGGGAGGAAGTATCAAGATTATAGGTAAGAGTAGTAACTCAAAATATAGCAAAGCCCTCTGAAAGGCTAAATTTCTATGGCAAAAGAATAATATCTGTTTTATTTGGATGTTCATAAAAACAAAGCACTTTGCAAGAATACTTCCACATAAGTGTAAGATACAAAGAACAGGATCGTCAAATCAGAAATTTACCACATTAGCTTTGGCATAGTTAAAAGTTCACTAATCATAGCTTTTGATGTGTAATTTTTGAACTGAGCAGGTTTATACCATTTTAGAACTGTATAGCACTCCTCATCCTTCATCCTTTTTTTGTTTGTTTATTTGTTTCTCTTAATAATTAGAAGGCAGACCAATCTGTTCTCAAAGCTACTGTTTGGTATGTAAGCAATCTGAAGCAAGTTACTCAAGTTCTCTGATCTTCTCTTTTCTTTAATTGTAAAATCTGTATGACAAGATGACCAACAGGGGAATTTTTAAAAGTTTCAGAAAACCTCAGTGTCTACAGAGCATGAATAATCATATGTAATTAACAAAACAGTAATGGTGATTTTAAATATAACTTATAAAGTTTGTGGTTAATTACATATTAAAAAACTTAATCCTTACATATGTTCAGAGATTGTCTTATACAGTTCACTTGTATGAGCTAACTGCTTATTTAACCTTACATACATTGTGTTCTTCCAGATGAATGGAAACTATCCTTGCTGAAAGTATTTAATTCTGTTCTTATTTGTTTTCCAATGTCATGGTGAAAAAGTGAAGACTTATACTAAGCACTTGATCTTAGAGCCAATCTTTTGTATACAATTTTTTGGCCAAAAAATTTTCCTAAAGAAAAACATAATTCTTAAAAAAGAAGAAGAAGAAAAACATAATTCTAAGAAAGTACTCATCATCAGTCTCACATTTGGAAAACCCATCAGCACAAAAATGGCAAACAACCCTTAAAAACACAAACCATTACTTCCAAAAACTTTTTAAACTTGGTATCGTCAAATTATCAACTGTTACCTTGAGACTACGTGCTAGAAGATTTACCCTTATTCATATACTCTTCTTTTCTATGATACCATGTAATCAGATTCTGTGTTTAGCTATTAATTTTTTGCATTTTAAAATACCACTTGTGTCATAATAACTATCCGTTAATAACTTAAACCACCAACTGTCACTGCCAAGTGAAGCAATGGCATATACCTCTGTGGTGTTTAATCACATCCATGGTTAAGAATTTCTTCACCACAAGATAAGCTGAGCCAGGTTCTGCTAATGAACTCCACCGAAGCACCTGCTCCAACACGTTTTCTGTGTAGTGAAGAGGACGCTCTGCAAGCATAAAACCCAAATCAAAATGAAAATAAAAATATGAAAATTGTCATATGTAACTAATTAAAACAAATTAAAACAGAAAATTATTTTGTCATGAATTAAAAAATAATTTTCAATGATCTGTACACAACATATACATAATTTATCTTATGTATATGTTTACATAATAATAGCATCAGAACTGTATTTGAGACACTGATACCTGAAACACTATTAGCACATAACAAAATTTGTTGTATAAATTATTCTGTGTGGGAACACTTGTTTTTTATGCAATTATCTTTTAAATTTCATAATTACCTTGCTTTAGATAAAACTTAGTATACTACCTTTAGTAGAATGAATATGTATCTTATTGTAACTTCTGTTTAATTCAGGTAATATTCAGGTTTGCTTAGGGAGAGCTATTTGCATATGCAATTAAATAACTTTAAAAGGACTAGAAAAATTTATTTTATCCAATACTAATAAGCATGAATTAATCCTGTGTTTATCCCATTAGATTAGAATATTATAATTTCTGATCAATACAAGTGAACAACATATAGTTGGTAGTTTCACAGCCAATTAATATGAAATTATAAATATTACTACAGAGAATATGTAAAAATAATTATAAATATAATATTTAATAATCTCTAACTATTAGTAGAAATATCAATCAGAAACAAAATGTTGCAATATTATACATTAAATGTTGATGAAGGAAAATGATTGAGGCCAATAAAAAAGAAATTAAATGACAGCTTTAAGACTTCTCTTTGATGAATCTTTATCTATATATATTTTGTTTTAGAAAAATGTGTCATACATTCTTAGCATCGAGTTTAAAGAAAAGTTTTATAATTACAATCAAAGCTTCATGGAAAGTTTTTTTGATCAAAATATGCCAATCAATTAAGAAATTAAAATGTAACAACAGAGGCATATGCTTGTAAAAAAGACATTCAAACCTTTCAGTACACTAGAAATAGCATATTTGAAATAGGAAGAACAGAACTCTGACTTGATGTTGATGATGCTTTACTAACATCATAGCCAGATATAAGTCAACTCAACTCTTTCAGATCCTCCTAAACATACAGCATATAGCACTTAAGTATTTTTTTAAAGTAGTACTGCTAATGACGAACAAGAAAGAGCATAGAAGAGGCATTGTAATCGTATGTGAAACATGATATTGTAATTGGTAACAAAATTTAAAAGTAAAATGGACTAAATATATCACATCTTCCCTAATGCCTGTCTGCATTGCTGCTAATATGTGATTTTGAGAAATCATCAATAATCTCAGTTTTGTAAGAGAACATGTGTTCTGCTTCCAATATAAAGTACCAGAATTTTGATTCTTAGCCAATAAACTAATATCCAGTGCTTCATTCTGTGCCTATTGGAGCAAGCCTAGTTATTATTATAATGATAATTTAAAAAGAAAAACAAAAGTCAAACAAACAAAAACCACCTAAGAGTCATTAATCTATACACCTTGAGGATTCTATTTACTGTTATATATCCCCTGCATACAGCACAGAACTGAGTATACAAAAGATGCTCAGTAAATATTTTAGGAATAAAATACTTTATGAATTTCTTTGATGGGCCATATTTTAACAGAAAGTATTTGTTATCAGACCAGACCAGAAAAATACACATAATTACTTATAAAACCAGACAAAAGCATTTTGTGCTATATCAATATTGGTGTCCCTTCAAATAATTCTCCAAAAGCTTTGGTGGGTAAAGATGATAATTGCCCATGATTTGCCCAAATTATAACTCAATCACTGATTAACCCATTAGTTGGTTATAATTGGAATTAGAGGTATTCAAACGTAAAACTTATTATAGAATAAGCACTCCCTTTATATTTGGCAATACATAATTCTTTATTCTAGGACACTATTATCCCATTAACAATTGTCATTTCTGGAATAATACCCATTTCAATAGTATACGTGTGTGTGTGTGTGTGTGTGTGTGTTTGTGTGTATATGTGTGTGCATATAATATATATACATAAAGAGAGTTATTTTATATTAGCTACCACTTTAAATTCTCACAATAATACTCTTTGGTACATATTACTACTATTATTCATATTTTACACATAAGAAACCTATCACATATTTCAGCTTTTTCCCCAAAGCCATATTAACAGTTCAGTGAGAAACAGACTTGAACCCCAAACCCATCTGATTTTAAAGCCCCAAATCTTAACTATTACCCTGAATTTTACTTTGATCAAGTATACAAACCTCCACATGATGGTTTCTCACATATAATTTTGGGGAAAACATAATTAGAACTTACTAAGATTGTTTTGAGTACTGGACAAGGTAAAAAATACATAAACAAAGTAAAAAGCACTTGAATTCAAAAATCCTCCTTTAATTTTCTACCATTCCTAAGAAGATGTTAAGGAAACAACCACAAGAGAGTTTCAACACCCTTCCTGTAAGGAAACTGATGGTTGAGAAGTTGGTTTGACAATGCAAAAATAATATTCTTAACTGGAATAGAGTAAGTGGCTTGAAGTAAAACTCACTCTCCTTTATTACAAGATTAAATTGCTAATGCAACTTCCAAATGTCAGACATTTTTATAAAGAAGGGTCACTAATACATACTATTGCAAGCAGATACTACAGTGATAGACCTACAGTTTTCCTAATAATACTGAAATATATCACAACAGGTATAGAGGTCATGTAACTTAAATTTAGTTACAAAAAGCTAAGTATATTTTTCACATCAGTATCAAAGTATGAAATACATTAGGGGGAAAAAGCCTTACAAACTCTAGGTCCTAAACACAGAGCTGGAAAACATGATGGGAAGATAAATACATATTAGACTCTCAAATGCATTACTGGCATTAATTAGAAAGGGATAAGGAGTAGGAAAAATGATTGAGTCCTCAAGCATTGTTGGAATATAAATTATTAGACATAAACAAATTTTAATTTATAGTTGCACTTGAAACCATCTGTCATGAGAGATTATATAGTGTGTATGTCACTTGGCATTAGGGCATTACTGAGAAATAAATAGTTCTTTTGGATACTAGAATGAAAATTGCCAAGCCCTCAGTGTACTCCTTTGGAGAAAAGAGGTCACATTGGCAGTTATTTAACTGGGTTAAAGCACAACAGTATTGATTATTTAAAATTCTATGCAAAGAATGAACCTGGCCTCTCTTGTTAAATAAAAATCCATTCATTTTCCACCTGAAATAATATTTTATTTGTTGTCCTTAAGTTTCTGGTAGTAATAACACAGGGCTCCCAGAGACAATTGCTACTTCCCCAATAACCAAATTCTTAGTGCCAAACTTAGAACTGTGAAAGCCTTTCTCTAATGATCCACATCATCAGAGGGGAGCAGTGGTTTATGTACCAATGAGGAGAAGAGCTAGAAAGGAGATCTGTATCATGGCAGCTATGAGGGAGGAACCAGCAAACATTTCACTATGATCTTACTACACAGAAAGTAACTGCTTCATAAACTCAAAACTCGCAATAAAGCTCACTGAAATGAGACTCCTTAGGCAGTTCATCTATTTCAAGTCGTGAAAGACCTCAAGGCCCAGAGATTACACTAGTGGACAATAAGGTCAGTTTTAGGATTAAGTATTAAAATCACAGCATACTTTAGAAGAGTAGCTGTTGATAGAGGGGTTATCATCTCTGCTACACTTGGGACTTGAACATCTCCCAAAGGCTATGTGTTGACAGCTTGGAACAATAGTCTGTGATGATATTGGGAGGTGGTGGAATCTTTAAGGGCTGGGACCCAATGTAAAAAAGTTAAGGCACGGGGTCATACCCCTGAAGAGGATACTGAGATCCTAGACCCTCCTTTCTGCTTTCCAGACACCTTTAAGTTAGCAGCTCTGCTCTACCACATGCTCCCCACCCTCACCACCTGCCCCAAACCACTGGAGCCAATTGACCATCGACTGAATACCTCTGAAACTGTGAGCCAAAAACAACCTTTTCCTCTTTATATAAGATTTTATCTCAGAGATGGAAAGCGACTAACAAAGAACATTGGTACCAAGAAGTGGTATGTCCATAACTAACAATGTGATTCAGGAGCTTTTGGAACTGGTTTGCGGAAAGAGTTTAGAGAAGCTGGAGAGGGAAAGCTTAGAATATTGCAAGCAGAAATTAATGGATGATTCTAATGGAGACTCAGAAGACTAGATGGACAGGAATATAGAGAGTAAATTTAAGATGGAAATGAGATATTTATTGGTAACTGGACTAGAGGCTATTCATGTTACATTCTGACAAAGAGCTTTACATTTTGCCCATGTGCTGAGACTTTAAAAGAAGCTGAGTTGAAAGGTGACGAACTAATTAATCTAGTGGAAGAAATTTTAAGGCAGCATAGCACCAAGGCAGTGTGGCTTGGGAATTGGTGGATGCTTTGAGCTAGATTTTCAGTGAAAACTGGAAGCAAAAAGCAGAGAACAGACTGGAAAAACTTGCAGTTTGGCCTAAAAGGAGTGAGTTAAAAGGTATAGTCAAGAAGTTATGAAGATTAAAGCCATCAATAAAAACCAAGTACCATGTACCAGGAGAATAAGAAAGATGCTTGGAGGACATCAGAGGAATGGTAAGGTCTCACAGCATGATCAAAGGTACATACAAAAAGGTAAACTTTTACTCTGATCACACATGGCTGCCAGCTAGTAATTTGCTTAGGATCACTTATGTTAAGCTACCAAGAAGGCCACTGTAGCTGGTTCACAGAGGTATTGATACAGTTCATGTCAGTGGAAGACTTTGGCATTGTCCACCTGGTTCTGATTTTGCAGGCATGCAGAAAACAAAAGTTAGTTACAGGGTCCTGGAGGCTTCCACTGAGATTTCAAAGGAAAGCCTGAGTGTCCAGGGAGTGTGTGGTGTATCTGGAGTCCCTGCCAGCCGACCTGACAGCATGATGCACAAAACTGTGAGACTGAAGGTGAAGTTACAATGGAGACCCCAGGAAGTTACAGATGACAGAATATGTAGCGACTGCTAAGGAAGGCTACCACAGGCCCAGAGTGACAGGGGCAAGCATCCATAGACAGATACCTCTGAAACTGTAAGCCAAAATGAAGTTTTCCTCCTTAGAAGTTGATTTATCTAAGGTATCTGTCATAGCTACAGAAAGCTGACAAACATGCTTTGCTACGAAGGGTTTGATCTTGTTCTAATAATTGGTGGAAGTGAGTCAAAGATGCTTGACATTCTTCAAGAAAGATCTGTGCTCTATCCAGAACAAATTTCACATGTCACACCAGGCATTCATTTAAAGGGAAATCCTATTTATAAATTAATTGAGCCTAGAATCTAATATTATTTTGTATGTTATATGTTTGAGTATTATGTATAAAATCAAGATGTAAAAGTTACCTAAATATTTTACATGATTATAACAAACTATTTCCCCATGAATCTGATTACCACAGAGAGACTGTGCTTTGTTTTAGGAAAAGCTTTTTCCAAAAACTGTTTTACATTTCAACAATGATAATGCTACTAACATTGTTTCAGTCACAAATTAACATACTTACATCATCTGTATTTTTAAATTTCACATCAATTGAATTCAATTTATAGGTTTAAGGATCTATTTTTATCATCTTTAACCAAAGACACATATCATTACAGGCAGTTACATGGCATAATGCATACTTTCTGCTTATTTATTTTTATATTATAATGAGATGTTATACTAATTTTTTAAATAAGTATAATACATTATCTCAGGATAATATAGGAACAATATGGAATAGTTAGTGCACAATGTAACGTGACAGAAAACTACTACTTTAAAATTTATAGGAAAATAAATAAAATAATAAATAAAACGTAGTACTCTGGTTTATTATCATTAATTAATTTATTCATTTTTGGTTATGTGATTATTTGGAGGATTTATTTCACATTGGAAAACTCACCAACTCCCTGATAACATTCTTCCTACCAATTAACAGTCTTGTGACTACCTAGTCCTTTATGTTTTTCTTCCTTTAATATTTCACTTTATCTTCTTTGCATGATACTTGAAATAAAGATTTTTAACATTTCAGAAGGTCAGACGATTCACACAGGCTCCATCTGCTTCAGTCGACCAACACAATCACAGGGCCTTTTCTTGTTTCCCTACCACTGCTCCTTTAGAAGCAGTGAAAAGAATTATTTATTTGTTTTTTTTTCTTCTGGCCATTTTTGTATGTACTGTTAAGCAAACATTAAGGCCATGTCAAATTTAAATTCTTAATACCAAATATTTTCTCTCATGATGCACATGGATAGTTCTTCTTTGGCTTAGACATTCATAAATCAAAATGACTTGATGTGTCCTAGTCTTTTTATACTTAATTAAAATAACATTTTCCTATTTTTTTAATTAGAAAAAATAGGAATGATTTTTAAAGATCCAATCCAATTTTAGTGTTTGTGAGGTGCTGTTTATCACATGCAATTTGATAATCAGCCATTTTTAGGATGAGAATCCCTTGATTTTCTGAAAGGAATATAAAAAACTGTGTTTCCAGGTAGAACGTGATTCTACTTCTAGCTACAGATCCTTCCTATCCTCATTCATTCTGCCTGTTCCACTCAGTTGGGTCAGAGCTAAAGACAGAGCTCTAAGCTATGACAGAGGGACATGATTTAATCTGACTCAAATCTTGAGAGACTAAGTGTGGTAGGGAGTGGATGTTTACCCTAAAATATATCAGTCCACATTCTGCAGTAAATATCTTCAAAAACAACAGAAATAGAATAGCATGCAGGTAAGAATCAACTATCCAATCCCTAACCAGGGCTTAGAACTCTCAATCTAAGTGGTTCCCAATCTACAAGCAGGGATCACTTTCTATGTGACTTCCATATTTGTATAAATCTGAATAAGGAGCCACAAAACACAAATCATTTATTATTTGTTATTCCAGCTCAGTTAAAGAGACTTTAATGGGGTCTAGTCTACAACAGTGCATAATCCAAGAAGCCGTATGAGATATGAAGATCTAAAACATATGATCAATGCCCAAAAAACATATGGTCTGGGGTAGAACTATATATATATATATATATATATATATATATATATATATATACACACACATATATATACACACACACACACACACATATTACTGTTCTATAAGGCAGGCTGCATATAGTACTATAAATCTACAAGCAAATGATCAGAAAGCAGTCAGTGTAAACTATGTTCATTTGAATATCATCAGAGGAAGGGGCACTTGAGCTGGAGCTTCAGAGATGGATAGGCAATGAGAAAAATCATGACAAAGAGTTTTAAATAGTGGGAGAATACAATCCAATTGGAGATTTAGAAATACAATTCTGGAAATAATGCCAACAGTTATCTTTCAATACTCTCCCCTCCCCCCCCAAAAAAAGATAAGACCAGTAATCCCATCCCTCATCACATCTTTTTTTTTTTTGTAAAGAAAAAAAAAAAAAAAACAAAAGATTCCACCATTCCTGCATCACACAGTCATATGCCACAAGTTTATTTATTCAATAGATTTTAACAAGTATATATGGTTGTTATGTACTAGGCATGTGCTGGACAAGAGAGACCAAAAAAAAAAAAAAAAGACAGAATCCCTACTTCCTTCCAAGAAGCCCCGGTCAAGACAGATACGTATAAATCCAAGTGCTCAGCACTATAAGAAGAGAGGAGACAACAAAGGCAATTGGGTGGGCCACAGGGTGGAAGACCTTGAGAAATCCAAGTCCCCAAGTGTCAGTCAAGTGCAAGGTGTCTATTCAGAAGATGTAATATGAGAAAGCTAGCAAAGGAAACTAGAGAAGAGAAAAACTGGATGTTTAAAAGATGGACAGAGAAAGAATACAAAATTAGACAAAATGACTAGAGAACCCAGGAGGGAATCTAGATAGCATGGAAAAGGAAGATCATCAGATAAAGGAAAATGGAAAGGTCATTAGCAATCAATGCCACAGAAAGGACAGGTAACATAAGGCCTGAAGCAAATCAGTGGGGCTTGACAGCTGGGAGGTTACAGGAATCATCTGCCAGAGGAGGTCTGTCCAGAGGGAGAACTAAGCCCCACTAGAGGAGATACTGAGAACTCATTTCCTGGACCTTGGCAATGTATACTAAAAAAATAACAATATAATACAAATACAAATTTTAAAGAACTGCTCATGGTAAAAAGAAATAAAGAAATAAAAATATCAAGATGGACTAAACGAATGAAAGACAAAGTACTTAATAATCCTATTTCATTCTAACACTAGTTGCAGTCCTCCTAACAATGCACCACGGGGTATTTCAACATTGAATTTTAATTTTTCCTTGAGTTTGTGGGTGGCAAGGTTTTCCTTTTGGCAGTTTGACAGCTATAGCTGAAAGGGTCCCAAGACCTTAGTAGGTATCAACTAGACAGATGGTCAAAGTACAAAGACATTCTGCCTGATATTATTTTTTCCTAGAGGTCTTTAAAACCAAATGGTGTCATTAGAATGTTAAGCTTATTCAGTATTTGACTACTGGGTCAGTCAAGGTGTTTTAAAATGTCTTTTTACCCTTCAGTTTCTTTGGAACGAAAGATGACAAAATATTTGATATACTAAAGATAGAGCAAAATTAAAACGTCAAAAGAGAAGCTTCTGCTAGGCTTAAAATAAAACTGTTTTTAGAATAAGTCATCTTTTAAATTAGCATTCTCTTTTTGTGTTAAATGAGTGGCATATATGAATAAGTGGATGGTGGTAGTGACATTTACAACATTGTTATGGATCAAAGTTCTTGTTCTTATAAAGAAGGGCCTATTTCATGGGCTGGAGTTCGGGCTCAGTAGTAGAGCACTTCCCTAGCATGTGCAAGGCCCTGGGTTCGATCCTCAGCACCACATAAAAATAAATAAATAAAATAAAGGTATTGTGTCCAACTACAACTAAAAAATAATATTTTTTTAAAAAAAGAAAGGCCTATTTCATGAGGCAGCAACAGAGATGACTAATGCATTACACTGTATTTTCATAGTTGAAAAAATAATCTAATTATATGGAAGAATAAAATCATGTGAAGGTAAACTCAAGTGGTAACAACATATGTCAAGACATGACTAAGGCAGGAGGGAATTCATGATGAGAGGTTAATCTTTAGAAAAACATAAAATGTTAGTAATGACTTGTTGCCAAAGAAAGGATTTCTTCATCTAAAAGTAATTCAATAGTCTTTAGCAACAAAATCACTTACCTAGCTCTTCATTTTCAATGACTTCAAATGTGGCCCAAATGTCACCTTTTGTGGGAATAATATTTTTTATTGCTAATATATCATTAGTTAATTCTTCTGCTTCCATCACAGGAGATATCTGTAAGAAGAGCAACATTTCTTCAAAAGATCTTTCAGATACAGAAGCAGTCTTATGATAGGGCAATACTACCTCCACCTAACAATACCTCAAGTCTTCTCCCAGTGTGGATAAAACTAGCTTCTTCAAACATAGCGAAAACAGCACATTCAGCTCTTCTCCATAAAACAGAATACATTTCAATGTAAAAGCAAAGGGAAATTACAATACAGATATCATCAAGAAGAATTATTTTGTTCATTTACTGAGCAATTAGATGACTCAGAAGGGAGGAATAACCTAGTCACTCACAGACAGGCTTTCAACACATGACAAATCCAACCATCTCCTAGGAGTAAAACTTTTCACTTGTCAGTTCTCTAATCAAGAGTATAGAGTGACTTGTTTATTCAGCCTGGGCCCTAAATTATACACAGTTGACTGACTGCTGTTTGTCATGCCAAGAAGCCCCAGGGTTTTGGTAGTTTGTGGTGCACCCTGCCATGCCAAGTGACAGATGGTAGGACACCAAAGTATTTAAGAGCCAGGATTTCAGGGTATAGGGCAGAATCTGCAGTGCCAGCCTGGGGCCCCGGCTTCACAAGAGTCCCAAAGCCGGAGGCCATTGGATGAGCACACTGCCTCTTCTGGGACTTTCAGGGTTTCTGATTTGTTTCTCCTTGTTTTTGTTTTTGCCAGTCTTAAGTAGATACTGGCAAAAAGCAAGCTGATTTCTTCAGTTAGACTTCTGATGTAAAATTAAACAAATAAAAGATATATAAACATTAGAATACTGCAACTGCAACTTAGCTTACATGTTTCCATAAAAGTAAATCCCTATTTAAATATTTCTTAGGAAAGGAATGTGTTCATTTCCATTTTTCCTTCGCTTTACTATTCATAAGCCTAGAACACATACATAAATAACAAAAACATCTTACACTACAGGTAACTCACGGTGTCTACCTTTTGTACATCATGGAATTTAGAGCTTGCTTTAGGGAATATGTTAATTATACAATGGAATCCACTCTGTTCTATTTTAAAGCTCAATGAAAAAGTGGGAAAAGTGGAGAGTTTCGAGCAACAAAAATATCAGCTGAATTGTCTTCATGATGTTTTTGATCTGCATTGACCTAACCATTTTAAGAAGTATCATCCTTTATTAAATAATGATTACTGAGAAACCAAACCTGAGAAATAGGCAGCAGGGAGTGCCTCAGTCTGAAGCAGAAGGACTACATCCATAGGCCCTACTCCAGGAGAGAGACCCAGGGCCCCTTTTAAAAACACCTAGAACTCCACACTTCAGAAAGCATTATTCTGTGGATTAGACTTATCAATATAATGAACATCAGGTATAGATTATGATGACCAAGTTTGTATTGTGGCCTAAATTTCTAGTTTCCATTGTTATGAATAAGATATCACTTGTTTCATCTATCTCTATAGGGTGAGGTAATTACCAGGAGAGATAAAATGTAACTAAATAATTTTACAGTCTTAAGTACTAAGTCAAATGCTATTGATTTTTTTTTGTACAGTTTTTATGTTTTTTTGAGAGCATCTGGATCTTCTACAGGTAAAATTGTGAAGTCTTAAATATAAACACAATTAAAAACAATTAAGATAATGTGACAACTTTCCTCAATTGTAAAAATTGGGTTTATAAGTAAAATTTAAATACACTATGAAAGTGTCTGTGTATAGGTAGAGTTAAATCATGTTCTCTAAATATCTCTTCCATCGTTAATAATGGACTTGTGCTGATTGGTCTGTACTAGTTTCTCAAATCCCTTATGATCAAAATCATACACTCAGACTAAGAATCATGATATAGCTAAGGACTAGCAGGGCAAATGTTTCACAAAGCATTTGATGTTATAGCTGATGACTATAGCATTTAGCTCTATGTTTTAAGAAAGGTAATTCCATATAGTCATAATACATAATTATTAAAAATACCTACAGTAAGAAATATAAGACAGGTATGGTGGTGCACACCTGTAATCCCAGTGGTTCAGGAGGCTGAGGCAGAAAGATCGAGCGTTCAAAGCCAGCCTCAGCAAAAGCAAGGTGCTTAAACAACTCAGTGAGACCCTGTCTCTAAATAAAATATAAAATAGGGCTGGGGTTGTGGTTCAGTAGCCAAGTACCCTTGAGTTCAATCCCCAATACTGCTCCCTCCCCCCCCCAAATACAACATATTTAACATAACTAAAGTTTTGAGATATCTAATTCTGTGAAGGTTTAATTTTGCACTTCAAAAACGTGAAGAAGGTAAAGTTAAATTTGTTACATGGCAGAATATCTATTCCATATACAGAAAAAGTAGTATTACCAAGTAGGAACATAAAATATCACTGTTACTATACCTAAGGCAGACTAATTACTGAATACAGTAGCATGAGAGGGATCCATTTTTAATTCAGCAAAAATGATCAATAGCCTCAAGGAAAAAAAGTTACCCAATATTTAAGTACATTGGAAGATGAAATGCTAAAGGGTGAGAAATCAGGAATAACAATGATACTAGCACCAGTAGTCACAACTATTTATCAAACACGAGATGAACAATTTGCTACACTGTCCTACGTGCATTAGCTTAATGAGTCTTCACAGCAATGATATGATGTAAATATTATCTTTCCTCATTTTATAAGTGGGGACACTGAAATGGAGACAGAGTATATAAGTTGCCTAATGTAAGGAAGTTAAAAAGAGAAAAGCAAGCCTCTGTGCTCAAGTCATTTTCTAGAACCTACAGAAAATCCTAACTCTAACCTAAAGCACATAAAATGTGCTTTCCAAATGACTAAAACATAAAATTCCCAGAGGACATTGCTATGAAAAGTCAATCTTGTCATCAGTCACTGTTTGAACTAGACAGGTAAAGGAAATGAGAAACACTGGACAATTCAAAATATGTGAAAGTACTGCCAACATTCATGCTTTCCAACGGCGCTCTACATCCTCTCGAGGACTCACCCGAATTATAATACTACAGTCGGGTTCCTTCCTTTCCACATACACTTCAATTAACAAATCTCCAGCCTGGGAAACCTAGAAAGGGCAGATGTGAAAACAGCACATATGTCACAAAAATTTACATAGGACATGTGAGGCAGTTGTAAAATCCTATTCATATTTCTCAATATGTTATAGCAATGAATTAGCTCAATCCCCTGTTCACAAGCATGATGTTCTTATTTCAAGGTATGGTTGATTAAACATAAGGAGTCTATACAAATTTATAATCAGTAGCAACTATCACAATGGGATTTATCTCTCAAACACCCTTCTTTTTAAAATGAAATGGTAAATCTGGCCACACTGGAAATAAGCTGCCTTTGACAAGAGAAATACAGGAACCTCATCATCTACAGTAACAGGATAAACAAAATGAGGAGTGAAAGTGAGCCACATGCATTTTTTTCTCAATATTGTGTGCATAATAGTAATATTTAAAAGATAAAATAGTTCTTGCTATGTTTTCAAAAAGATGATATATTTGAATGAGGATAAATTAGGTCAGAGCAGTAGTAAAACTACAAATAGAAAAAGTAACTTTAGTAAGAAGAATAAAGTAAAAGTGATAGAATTAGGCAGAAAACGAAGGTAAGTTTTCATTTTAATTATCTTCAGGCAATTATTTAAGAACAATTATTTGGGTCATTATGTTCCAGAAGACTGACTAAAGAAGATACAAGTCAAAAAATATAAACCATAGATACGGCTATGTACATCAACAAAGTAAAATGAAGAAGGTTAACAAAGAATGAAATGAATACATGAAAAATATTTTCAGTAGCTTTTGTCAGAAATTCACTTTAGTTCCATAACCACTCAAAAATAATATCCATAACTCAATATTTTTTAAATGATCACAAAGGACAAACAATCATTCTGAAGGCAAATTTGTCTCTGTATAAAATCTAATGAGTAAATTTGTGAGGGAAACATTTAAAAATGTACTTTGAAGAAGTATTCATAATTATTCTGTCACCACAAGCATAGAAAAGATTATTTTCAAATTTTATTTCTCACTTTTGATGCTACACACAAATTCTAGTAAGAAAAAGAGTTGACATTTTTTGCTTTTCACTATGTATGCATAAACAAGTCTCCAGGAAGGACACATTTTAAAAATTTGAAAAGCAAACACAGAGTACTCAGAGTAAAGCCAGAAAGAAAAATAGCTAAGAAATTCAAATAAGAGTAGAATATAGGGATTCAAATAAGAGTAGAATATAGAGACTGCCAGAAAAATACTCCAGGAGAGTTTTGTATGGATTTAAAAAATACTCAAGCAAAATAAGTAGTTTTTTCAAACTGTCCTCCTTTTCTCTTTCAATTACTATAGTTTATACACAATTATTTTCTTATTTCTACTTATACTGAATTTTAAAGCAGTTATTTATTATAAATATAAAATACAAAAAGACAAAAAGATATTTGTCCTTTATCTAATAATTATATACATAATGCTGCCAATGATTACCTCTCAGGCTCACACAACCCTTTATTTTAGGACTTAAACATCCCCCTGGAAGTAAGAAACAAACAAACAAAAAAAACTGATGTGAACCAAGCAGTGTTAAAGCTAATACCACTGGAAGCTACAGTAATGATTTTGGGTCAAAATGGAGAAAATAATTAGTTCAGTGATTAATATACCAGCATTAGTAGTGGAGAATTTACACACCCCCATCTCCTTCCGATGGATAACTCCTCTAATTAGTAATGGAAACTTCAGGACCAAGGCAAATTTAGGTTTTACAGGAGGAAGTATTTGCCTCATTATCCAAGTGTAACCATAAACAGAGCACATCTGACCCATTTCTGTTATTTACTCTGAATCCACTATGATTCCTAGTTACTAGAGGATGACTAAGGATTGCCTGTAAGAAGGTACAGTAAGTACTCCTTAAATAAGACAGAGTAACTTGGAAAGGCACAGTGCAACCTGAGCACATAAATCCAACATCATATGACTGAGGAAAGCAAGACAGGATTTAGAAAGCTGACTTAAGACAAAATTAATGTGTTACAGACATATTAGAAAGTGTCTCATTAATATAGTCATCTCAAAGCATGCAGAGCAAAAGCATAAAAGAAATAATTTATATTTTCAAAATCATTATGGAAAGAATCATTACTCTCTCTGAATTTGCAATTTATTCTGGTATTTCTTTGGCTTTAAATGCTTCCTTTGAAATCCACTGGCATTTTTAACAGTGTTTTTAGAATCAATAAATAAAACTGATTTCCTCTTTATGTTAAAAATTATATTCACATATTTTGCATCTATGTATCAGGTTGAAAAACTATCACCATTGTTTTATCAAGATTCTTTATCCCCATTACTTCTACTTTGTTTCCAAAAGAAATTTGAAAATACACAAAACAAATCTCTTTGTTTACAATAGAAGCTTTTGCTTTTGTTTAATTCTTTAAAGATCTAACTATTACTACTCACTTGAGTGTCTTTCCACTTGGTAATAAAGCTATTTTCTATGTCCATTTGTTTGACTTGGTCTTCTTTAACCTGTTTAAAATATAATTTTGGACATTCTAATAATGTAGAGTACAAGGAGCGATGGTACTCATCCTCACAAAACTCTTCAGAATAAATACCAACAAGTTGAAAATAAATGAGAATGGCCATCTTAATCAGCATGGCCAACAGAGTCTCATAAGTTCAGAAGACATTTTGATGATTCCTTCTGGCTTCAGATTCCACCCACAGAAGCCCTCATTGTTAAGGAGGTTTACAGAGCAAAGAGGCTGATGTCTTCTTTCTGAAAATTCTTGTAGGTTGAGAAACAAAGACTTGTTTCTCAAATCCAAATGTTCATTAAGTGCCATTAAATCTTTAACCTCTAGGATGAGTGGAGTTTAACATAAACTACAATGATAACAATTTGGCTTCTATTAATGGATTGGTATAAAACTAGAAAATAAAGAGAGCATGTAAAGCCACACAATTTTTTTTTTCTAATTTTTCAATCAGCATCAGACTTTTGCAAAGAAGTTGCCATTGATCAAAAACAGTGGACACACAAAGGGAGAAAAAAAGAGGAGATCAAAGAGCAAAGAAAATTAAATAACTCTGGTGTCCATTCCTCTATGAATTAATATAGAAACTGGGTTATTTTATTAAAGTAGTTCCTTTCTCTTTTCTAAGGAATCTTGTGGTAAGTTATTTTTAATACAAATATAACAACTACATAAATGACAACCTATCACACCACCCACCTTGGTTTCACCTACTATATCCACACCCCATAAAACAACTGAGTCTATCAACACCATTTGATAAAATGCTCAAAAAGATTACAGAGATGTTAGAATTATACAAGGGAACTGGATATTTAACCCATACTTACCCTATTGAAACCCTGGCCATATTTTCTTTTATTTTTATTTATTTGAACCTTCCTATTCTAGCAGTTGACTGATCAAACATGAAAACACTAACTTCATGAAATACCAAGTTGAAGAGACAAATAATTAAACAGTGATAACTTAGCAAAAAAAATTGTGGAATAATAATAGTATATCAGAATTTTGTTGTTGTTGTTGTTGTTGAAGGAACCATTACAACAATTTTTTAGAAACCCTAAAATGCTTTCAGTTGCAGAATTTAACAGCCCAGTGTTTATTACTGAATGTTAAATTCAGAACTTCACACCTCTAAGTAGACATACTTGATGCATACACATACTGAGGAAAAAACACATGTACACACACAAAAAACCCCTAGAATAGGACTATTCTGTTCAACAGACACCAGATGGTAAAAAAGGCTTAAAAGCAGCCAAATTTAAATGAATGCTATTGCTTAGAAATGCTATTGCTTAGAAAGCTAGTTTTATATAAAAACTGAAAGAAAATATAGCTATCCTATATTTTCCCTGTTTCTAAAAATCCATAAAGACCTGAATAATAGCATCCTAAAACATGCAATATTCTTTGCAAACAGTAACATCAACTCCATTTAAACAAGGGCAGGATATAAAATATTTACCTCAAATATTTCAACATAATTATTAATTAGGTCCTCAATTACATTCACTTCTTCACTTGTTTGTCCCTTAGTTTGAAACAAACAGGATGAAAAGACCAAGGCCAAATTATGGGCATTCATGTGATTGATTTCTGAGCACTTTTGAACCCTGTGAGAGAAAAGCATAGCTCATTAAGGGACACTTCTGTTTGAAACTGCATAGAACTGCAAGTCAAAATCCTCATTTATGATATTTAAACATGTACATTTTGAAATTGTTTAATACAAAAAGCACAGTGGTGGTTTAAAGGAAAGCACACGGTTCTTCTTCCAAGTATCTTGCAATCAAGTTAAGAACATAAGTAAAACTACAGTTAAGAGATCAGCACAAGTAACAGAGCAGCACTTAATGCTGACTTAGAGGACGAATTGAACACGTCCATATAGTTCCAGATAATGAAATGACCTAAGGCCAAAGCAAAAAAAGGGCATGCAGAATGGTAGAAAATGAACGGTGAAGCTACAGCATAAATGAAAAAAAGAAAGGGCAGGAGGAAGGTAGGAGCAAGACAGGAGGGTAGACTGTAAGGCATGCAGTGGAGTGTTCCAAATTCCAGGTTCCAGTCTAGGCTACATTTTTTTTTTTTAAATTTCTTACATACATGACAATAGTGGAATGCATTACATTCATAATTATCTATTCACAGCATAATTTTTTGTAACTCTGTATATAAAGTATGTTCATGCCAAATTATGCCATTATAAATGAGCGCTCTTATTTTTATTTTTTGCATTACAATTCCAGGTCCAGCTTGGCTAAGAAGAGGACTAGAACATGGCAGAATCAGAGAAACACTAGAATTGGGGGACAGTATAATTCTGTTTGTCTTGAACTATAAATTTAATGGTTGGTTAAGTATGTAAGTTAACTATAGCTATTTTAAAAATATATTCATTTGGGGAGTAGATGGGCATATGTTTATAAATATATTTTGATATTTGTATTACTAATCATTAAAAATCTCTCTCATTCAAAAGAGAATAGTTATTCTTAAGTAGCCCTAAAAAATAAAGACATATTATTATTGCAAAAAAAAAATAGGCTACATTTTCTAGAAAGTGGATGTCAGGTTTGGAGAACACCTGGTAGCACGTGTATGGTATTCAGAACAGGATATAATTACATCTCAAAATTCAAACTCTCAATTTATAAATACCACTACACCTTTCTTGGATATAACTAACAATGCCTTTTAAAAATAAAGAGATATGAATAAATCAATCAACCCTTCTAATCAGTAAGGTACAACTTTTAGGTCTTACAAATATCATTTAAAGTTTTAACAAATAAAAGTTTCAAAGTTATAAAAAATAAAATAAAACCTATAGTCACCATCCCAAGAAATGAAGAGTTGAGTTAGTAAGAATATCGTAGAGTGGAACTACAAGTAGTTAATGGTCTCTACTGGACACTGACTGTATATACAGCTGTATATATAGCTGCTCTAGTGCCTGTTTAACTTCATTTGGAAAATGTTAAAATACACACTAAAGAAGAGAGAACCACCTCCATTAAAGGCATATAGCAAGGTTATGTCTATACAGAATACAGATTCTGGTAGGTACAGAAAGAATCAACATGATAGTAATATATATGATAATGCAAGAAATCCTAATAAAATGCAAAATTGCATAGCAGAGACAGACCAAGTATGATCATCATATACAATTTACAAGATGCAAAAGGAATTGGAATTTAATAAAGGAGGATGTAACAACTGCAGACACCCCTCTCAAAACCACTCTGTACTTATATCAAACTAGACTGTGAACATTCAGGAAATTTATCTCCATGTCAGCATCTCACAGTCAAGAGAATCTCACTTTAATCACACTATACTGCATAATACATATCTGGTGAATGGTATTAGGTGGCTGTGACTGGTAACAGAAGTGGTCTTTTACCTAGGGTGGGGATTGAAAATGCTACATCAACCTAACCTTATCCAAACTGACCTCTCCACCTTTTGGTGACACTATCAGAAGTCCAAGGAAACTGTTTTCTAATGCCCTTCATAACCTCTTGTAACCTCCTTCCAGCCAACTATAAACAGTGTTGTCTCCTAGTACTCCTCTGTTCCAGAGATAGCCTTCATTCATTTCTCATTCTTACTTTTTTGCTTTGGATAGGGTCTTGCTATTTTGCCCAGCCAGGTCTCCAGGTTGCTCTTGAACTCCTGGGATCAAGTGAACCTCCTGTCTCAGTCTCCTGAGTGGCTGGGGCTAACGGTGCACACACTGACCCCAGTATGGATTTATCTTTTTTCATACCCAGTTAAAATGTTTCTTTAAATCTAAAGGATAGGGTGGACTCAACCCACAAGGAAACACTCATTCTCTCCTCTATAATTCCATGCTGCATCAAAATGTATCCCAATATCTCATAAACTATATTTGTATTAGACAATAAGAAAATCATTTTTATAGGCTGGGTATGAAGCTCAGTGGTAAAGACCTGGTTAGCACACACAATTATCAGCACGTACATGTACCACCTCCACCACAATAACAAAATCAGTTTTACTGTAATAGAGATACACGCATGAGAACCAGTGGTTGGAAAGCAATTAAAAAAATAACAAAGATGGCACACTGTGGAAGCTTTCTTAATCTAGTTACTTTTAGGAGAAGTCAGCTTTACAGAAATTTATTCAAAGGAGAGCTGGGGCTGTAGCTCAGTGGCAGAGCACTTGCCTAGTATGTGTAAGGCACTGGGTTCAATCCTCAGCACCACATAAAAATAAAGAAATAAAATAAAGACATTCTGTCCATCAACAACTACAAAAAAATTTTAAAAAAAGAAATTTATTCAATTATTGTATATATAATAATTCCTTAAGCTAAATTCATGCTTACTAAAGTTTTTATACTAATACTTGCTGAGATCAACACACACAAACCAACCTTTAGTTTTAACTTCTCAAACATCCTCATCCTTCAGATTTCTCATCACCAAAATATTCCTCATTTCTTTCCACATGCTGAGGAACCATCAGGCCCTGGCATAGGAAATGTTCTAGACTTTTAAAATCAGGATAAGGATATCTGATTAACCAATAATCCAAAATATCTGGAGTCAGAGAAGCAATAAACTAGAAGAAGTAAGAGTTTATAAAGCATTCACCAAGAGAAAACACTGTGCCCAGATCTGGAAACAGTGTCTGTTTAAGAACTCTTGTCCCTCAACACAGCAATGGATCACTCCATCTCTCCTATTTCAGTACTGCATGCTGCAAATTCCCTATTTAAAATCTGTCCCCACATCTTAGAGGCAGTGATAATACTATAGAATGTAGGCTGTATAGTACATTAAGAAAAATAATTCCTTCTTCTTCCAAATTCGGTCTAAATAAGTTTTTAAATTCTTGTTTACACATGTGACACATTTCAGGATGCTGTATTATTATTATTTCTGATTCATTTAAGAAATTCTCCAGCGCTATTTAACAGCAACTAAATTACAGAAAAGAAGGCTGATATCAGTTCCAATGATGAAGCTAGACTAAAATGAGGGAGAAAAAAAGGGAAGGGGTGGGTCCCATGAAAACAGAAGGTGGATCAGGAAGGGAATAGAGGAGGAGGGAAGAGGGACAAGAAAGTATGGAATTATGGAATGAAATTGACCAAATTGTGCTATGCATATATGCATATATATGAATATACCACAGTGAATTTCACCTTTAAGTATAACCATAAAGCACCAATTAAAAAAAAAAAAACATGATGGAAGACAAGTAGAATAGAGGAAGGGGAACAGAAGGAGGGAAGAGTGGAGGGAAAGAAGCAAATTATATTTCATGCATGTATGATTAGGTCCAAATGAATTCTAATATTATGCATAACTATAATGCACAAATAAAACATTTAAAAAATATATAGTGAAAGATATACAGCTTTGTGTAGAATATTGGCCACACAACTTTAAATTAAGAAGTAATGACTTATTGAATACCATGTTTGAAGTGTCTAGAAATGTTCATGAGTTCACTCACCTATAAAGGTGTTCGATGATAGCTGCCAGCGTTGCTCGGTTGACCCCTGGAAGAGTACGTATAAATGCTCCATACTTCTTAGTTCTTTCCTTGTCATCTTGTGTATCTGGAGGCAAAAAAAAAAAAGGAATTTTAGGGTTTAAGCCAATCACTTATATTATAAATTTGCCTTTCATCAATATTTCAAAATATTATTTACAAGTATAAGAAGATTAGAAGATTAAAACTTCTAGAATAATTGCCTATAATTATGGAAAAGCATTTATTCACATAAACTTTCCATGATTCTATGCTATAGCTCTTATAATTTTTATTTTAAAATAAAGCACTTTGAAAACAGAAAAGGGTATGTTGTTGTTTTCTTATCTTCCACTGTATGGACTACTGAACCTCAACTTAACAGGAAAACATTCAGTTAATTACTCAAACTAGAGGACAAATTGAAAAGCCAAGCCAAAAGTATTTTAACTCTAGCTGTGGAGAGGTTTTATTTTTTTTTTTTTTTGTATTTGGAAATGACATTCTGATCCTCTTTCCTTATGAAAGCACAAAGATCTTCCCAAAAATATGAATGCACGATCCCAGAGCTATGAACTTGTTATCTTCTCTGATCTAGGCAAATGGCCTTTTAGCAGCCATGGTACCATTAAATGTCTGGGAAAAAATGAGAAGATAATCAAAGAAATCACACACAAGTCCTTACACTGTGATCCAGACTTAGAAGTTGATGAGCCTCTGCCTTTGTTATAAATAGAAATCAAACATGAAGAGGAAGATACTGCCCAGCCCCAGAAGTCAAATCCCTGGACAAACTATGGTCAGGAACCCCAAAGTTCTTGACTCCCAAGGATGCATGGATTTGGTTCAGCCTAACTGATTAGCTGACACAGGAAATGAAGATCATTCTTCAAATAAATAACTTGCCCTGACTTTGTGACTCAAGGGAACCATACTTAACTATTTCTTTTCAATTCCCAACTACCTTTGGAAACCAGACCAGTTCACATTTCCTACTTAGCCCTACATATTCTATTCTTTAACTGTCATGTGTAACTAATTAAAACAAATTAAAAGAAGATAAAAGTATATAGTCATTGATAAGGACACTAGGATCTCAGAGGACATAAGAAACTCTGTGACACATTTTTCAAGTATAATCCTATACAAAACTGCAAGTATTAGCTCTTTTGTATGAATTTTGCCAGCACATGAGCTCCATAAAAATAAACATGGTTGTATGGACTTCAGTGTCCTGTAGATAACTCTGCAAAAGCAAGAAGGGAAAATACTCAAATAAAGGAAATTCAGAAATGAATTAAGAATTATTTATATCCCTAAATAATATTTAGTATTAATCTAAACATTTGTCCTTATGTCACCAGTTTTTAATTATAGAGAAAACTACATTTATTAATAAAATGTAATTAATATTACTACATACATAAGAAGTCAAGCTAACAAAAGATATTTTCATGTATGAGATAAATGATATTTTCAAAATAAAGACAAGAAATTGGAAAACAAAATTTGGGAAAGATTTCTGGTCATGCAGAATATATAATGAGCAGTTAAATTAGTTCAGAATTGAGGTGACTTAATACTGTTCTTAGAAGAACAGATCATGCATCATATGAATAAGTGGTATGCCACTGCAAGGCACTGTTGGTCTCAGGTGCACAGGACACGAACATTCTCCTGTGAGGTTCCCCAGAGGGTTATAGTTTATCCTTGTCAGATGAAACACTGGGCACTTATGAAATATCTGACTGAGCTATATTGGATCTGAAAGAAAAACACTTAAAGGTCATTCAACCTGGTATTTGAAGCACTCACCAAGTAGATTCTCAAAGAATTCACATGCAAGTGAAAGGTGAACACATCCCCTTTTGACGCTTGGCTACTCCTCACCAACTATCTCCTCCAGGTAGACTGGCAATGTTAAAGACTTCTTTATTATCTGACAACGTTGGCAAAACTTATTTCTTATGTATTTTTGATAAATGATTTTAAAATAAAGAAAAATTCTAAGTCATCATAAAATAGTTATTACAAATAAATTTATAGTTATAATAAAATCACCTTGAAACAAAAATAAGTAGTAGAAGGGAGCTGGGCTTAAAGAGATGTTTATCTAATTACATTTTTTAATATCCTACAAAACTATAAAACTTTTCTTATTCTCAGTGAAGCCTTTTGATTTAAAAAATATTTGGAAGCAAATAAACTACTACCTTCCAAACATGTTAAATTATGAAAAGTGTTAGTAACAATACTACTCTCTTCTTGCTAAAGCTTATAAGGAATAATATGAGATAATTTTCAAACTGTATGTGTGTTTGTGTGTATAATGTTTGTGTGTGTATATACATATGTATACTGAATACTTTCAAATAAATAATTCTATTTCTTAACTCTCAACACTTGTGTCCGAGGCACTTAGGCCAAAAATACCATGCAGCGACATACCACTTATTCATATGCTATATGATCTGTTCTTCTAAGAACAATATTAAATTGCCTGAATTCTGAACTACTTTAATAGCTCATTATATTTTTTATATGACCTGATCTCTTTCCTGAATTTTGTTTTCCAATTGCTTACCTTTATTTTGAAAATATAATCTATCTTTTTCTTATAAGACACATGAATATAATAAAAAATGAATTGTACTGCATTCTGCTGTCATATACAACAAATTAGAATAAATAAAAATAAAAAAATATATATATTCATAAAAAAGATATATGAAAACACATTTTCAATAGCATGATGTTTTATAAGTGTAGGAATATCATCTACCCAAATTCAAAAGCCATTTTATGAAAATATCTTGAAATATTAATTGTATAAGAAACAGATTTATAATTATGGTATAAATCAAAGCTAAATTTTAAGAACTAGAAAAAAGATTGAAAATTATCATTTTGAAAATGAAAATAAATAAGAAGACCTTATGGTTTACTATGAAAAATTTGAAAAAAAATATATGTGTATCACACATACAAATGTACAAAGATACTACAAGTATGGAGAAAAAAAACATTGTAATATGTAAAAATGAATAGTGATGAAACAGATGAGATTAAAGATAATTTTACATTTAAAGTCTTTAATGTTTCAACAAATGGATCGGTCTTCAATTAATGCATACTAAAGTAGGTTTTAATGAAATTAATATGATCCAATAAATGATTAAATAATCTACTTTTCTAGGTCTATTTCTTAAGTTCTCTTACAGTGTAACAAAGCTTTATTTCATTAGCTGAGATCTAGGGAAAATGAAGAAAGTAAAAAAATATATACTGTTATGTACAATAAAGAGGTAGAATAAATAAAAGAGGAATGATGTGTCATGTGATAATTTTAAGATTATCAAAAATTAAAAATAAATCTAAATATCAGTGAAGGTAAGCCTGCATCATGTTCCATAGTCCAGACATTACCTAATGCAGAGATCCAATATGGGTAGAGCTCCTTGGTAAGAAGTGCATCGTCAATGTCAGAGAGAAAGCTTTTCAACACGCCTGTCACATCTTCAAGCTGATGTTTCCCAGCCCTCAATTTAAAGCTTCTTGCATCCTTTTTGAAACTCTCCAGGAGTTCACTGATGCGCAAAGGATCACCATTCTTTTGGTAGATATATTTGCATCCTAAACCTTTGTTTGTTTAAAATTAAAAGAAAAAGTTAAATGAAAAAATGTCTCCATTCAAAATGTATTCTGACATCTTAAACATGGAACAAATTTTTGTGTTGGGATGATGATGAAGACAAATAAATTATGCAAGAGGTGAAAGACTTCATTCTTCTAATTTTAGTATTTGAAATGTAAACCCAATGAACAAATTATTCCACCTTCATCTTTCAGGAAGTCTTGGATCAGCACACCCTGTGGTACACTTCCTAAGATCTTTTTCATTATTTTTTTAAAATTTTTATCTTAAGTGCCATATCTTTACTTATCTCCCAGAATACACTCTAGTCTCCATTCTGACAAAAGTGAGTATACATTTTCCTAAACTTTGACCCCCATATCCATTCATTAGTTTCTTCTTCTTTCTACCTTCTCCCCCTTCCCAGTAAAGAGTTGGGTCATTCCTTTTGCAAAGCTACTGATTCACCAGGTACCCTATATAAACAAAAGTGATAATTACTAGTAGGTGGTACAGGAGTGGTGATGAATATGATACAAACACAGAAACCCTCCCCCTACCCAGGGTCCTTGTTCTTTTTCCTTTCAAAACTAAGCTGTTTCCTACATTTATCCCTTCTATTATCTCTGAGGCTTGTAAAACCTTTCACCATACAGTGTTGCTTCTGTCCCTAGTCCCACTGTTGGTAACACTGTCATCAAAAATGTCAATAATGTTCTTTTCTTCTGGAAGGAGTTCTGATTTCAGCTAATGAGAAATGCTTCAACATTGGATACGCCAAAGGAATCCTCCTTAAAACTCTTTTAATCCTACGGCTTTGATGACAGGATGATTTCTTATCTCCTCCTTTCCCTTTCCCTCTGTGGTTGAGGAAAGTTTTCATTCTGCCTGTGCAGTCTTTGCTGGTGATTCCAGATATCCATCTTCAATTCTCTTCTCTTCTTGGCCCCCAGAAAATTCTCTAGGTGAGACCATTCAACCTCATCACTTCAACACCTACATATATATTTTTTCCTGTATTTTAATTTCCAAAAGTTTACACACACACACACACACTTCCTCATTCTTACTATATGGTATTGCCTTCTTACGTTCTTGCAAGTAAGAACCTTTCTTTCTAGCTTATCACATTAAGAAAAATACTATGTCCCATAGATATTTCATCAAATTCTCACTCTCAAAACTGTCCCCGTTTTCCATCCCATATGCTGTTATCTTGTTCCCTTGATTCCTCACTGTACAACTCCCTGACCCCATTCCTGTGCTTCCCTACACAATGCTAACAGTGTGACCTAAAAACAGGTGTTGTTCATATTACCAGCAAGCTCAAAAATCTGGACCCTGCCTTCCCGTTACCTATAGGGCAAAGTTAAAGAATTAGAATATGTAAAAATTGACAGGAGTTGGTTTAAATTCCTGTATATTGTACATGCTTCTTCTCACACTAAGCACTGGCCGCATTTAACTTCAAGTATGCAAACTTCCCTAAAAAGGGGAAGACTTCCTTCCCTTACCATCTCTGCTCTGGGTGAAATCCAATACCAAAGACACCTGCAGGGGTCCTTGCATCTCTCCACTGTAGAATTTTGAACACTGTCTGCACACTTGTCTGTCTCTCATCCTTAAATCTACAAACTCCTAGACTGCTAGGGTTTCATCTTATTCACTGTATACATCCAGCAGATATGTGTCTAAAGAACTCAGTAGGCATTCAATAAGCAATTGCTTAACGCAAGAATAAGTAAATTCTACAAAAATATTATTTTGACTAGGTGTCTCAGACACTACCTTCTTTGCTGAGGAAGTTTCTAATAGCTGGTACTTAAATAAGTTTGGCTAAATGGACAGAAATTTGAAAATAATTTTGTTGATGTAAATTAAAAACAACTTCCCCCAAGAACTAACTGCTGTACTTCATTAAGAAAAACTTAAAATCCTAAAAACTATATCATGAACTTGATACAGTTTAAACCTTGACAGGAAGAGCACAGATAATTGGTTTTTAGATTTAACTCAATAGGCCCAGAAGTTCAAAATAATTATTACATAAAGACTTTGAACAAACTCCCTGCATCCTACAATCACTGGGCAGTTTTTCTATATTCACATCAAATCTTTCCTTTTATACATGGGATTAATATTGAGCTTTTACCCCATGTTCTACTTCCAGAAACAAATGGTTTACTGGCTTTATTGCTTTAATGTGCAAGTTAATGCACCTTGTGTTAAGTAGTTATAATGCATGAGATTTAGCGGAAAATGCTATGATGCTTAGTGGTTTTAAATTCAAATGGTTTTAAACGCAAAGAAACTTCTGATTTCCCTAGAGAAATGTAAAACTGGCTATACTAGAATGAGTCAGGATATTTTAATCACTTGTCAGCTTATGAAAGGCCATATGTCATTAATTATGTAACTAATATGTGAAAACTCCCCATGAGGTCATGCTCTTGCTGAAACACAAGTGTACAATGCATGATAACCACATATTTCCCCCACTTTAAACAAATGCTGATCAGGAAAACAAATGCACTACCATTTCAAGGAACTTTCTGTATCAGTAGGCCATGAGTGTGTTCATGTATAGATTTTCAGTAGCTATATAAAGCAAACACAATGAATCTGCACATTAAAAACTCTACTTGAATTACATTTGAAGTAAAATACTTAAAATGACATGCTACTCAGAAGAAAAGAGATTAAAAGTACACATAAATGTAATTTCTGAAGATTATTTTTGTTATAGTCCTTGTTATTTCTGATATCATGCTCCTCATCATCATATGGTCAGTTGCTCATTCGAGGACTGTCTTTCATGTTTAACTCCTACCACTGTGTTTCTGTCAACACAATGTTTTAATGTAGCTCTGTCACTAATTAAGTCTTGTTTTTAAATTAAGATAAGAAGACACCTTTAATATTAGGAAAACAGAAAGGTTAACACATCTTTAAAAGCAAGCATTTCACTCCTTTCCACACTTAAGCTCTAATAAATGGTACTTATCTATGGGTTAGAAGGTGGAAAATATGTTTATATTAAAAAATGTAGTTAAGAAACTTATACCTTTTGGAATACGAAGAATATACACAACTAAGAATGAATTTGAAAGATTCATGATAACTTGAAAATAAATGACAATAAAGGTTAGTTTTAAGGCATATCTAAAATACCCACCATATCATACACATGTTAACTGAAGGTGGACCGTATAAGTATAAATCAAATTGCTTTTACTTGCTAACTACTCATTAAAATATCTTGCAAATAAACCAGTTATATCTATAACCATGCTTAATATAAACATCTGACTAACCAGTCAAATGCTGTTGAAGCACACTCCGTATGCATGCCAACACAATACAAATTCTTTAACATATTTTTCCATAGTTTACCATTTCTAAAAATCATGCTTAGGCACTCTAAGTTACTCTAGGCTTTATTCTTGGCTTGTAACCACTGAAAAATAGTTTTTATTATTTTACATACTCTTAATATTCTTTCAACATGCTATTTAACATTTTCATATGTACAAAGGACAAAGAAATGTAAAAAAAAAGGTATTATATAGTTCAGATGAATTTACCAGGGAGAAGAAATGGCAGCTAGCTGAGCAGTGACCACGCTTTTACTTTTTAGGGGCACACTTGGGAATGTAAGGGGCATTAATCAGCCAATGGAGGCACCACTTAGAAACTATAAGAGTGATACTATGAGTTCCAGGAGTTGAATAAAAACTCTGATACATACCATACTGTGTAACAAATGCTATACAGCTGTTCACAATAATGGGCACGTCATTTTTGCTGAGCTGCTGATCTTGTAATGCATTACCATCTGTACCTGCTGCTTTTTCAATTGCAGTATACCAGACTGTGAAATCCAACTTGGTATGCCCATGGATGTATAATGTTCTGTAAAGTTTAAAAAGCATGACAAATTATAATTTTGCTTTACTAAAATAAATAAATAAATAAATGGAATTTTTTAGAAAGCAAGCTCTTACTTCAAGAAACATTAACCCTAAATCTACAGAAACAAGAACTACCTCACCCAGCCTAGAAAAGCCCTTCCTTTACCTTCCACCTCCCACTCACCATGGCTTCCTCTCAGTCCCCCTTCTACTTGGTGACTCACCTCTATTCACTGAATAGAGGAAATTCTCCCAATTTAAGATTTCACCTCTTTTGTTACCCCAACTCTTTTATTCTGTTTCTGAATATTTCTGTTAATGACTAAATGGCAAATATCACAAGTGACTTTTAATATACATTTTTCTGCCTCTCTCTCTTCTTTAATTTTTTTTTTAGGTGTAGATGGACACAACACAATGCCTTTATTTTTATGTGGTGCTGAGGATCGAACCCAGTCCTGCCCATGCTAGGCGAGCGCTCTACCGCTGAGCCACAATCGCAGCCCCTCTTTTCTTTTTAAATATATTGATATTTTTGATTGTTTCATTTCTTAAAAAATGATAATACTCTGTTGGCTTTTATGGCAAAACCCTTTCTGGAATTCCCATCTTTCGCATCACTTCTTGGTGTCAAGCTCCCTTCCTCTTTCTAAATAACAAGGTTGTGTGTGATCTCAGACTCCCCAGAATCTCCAGGGACACTGGTCATTTCAGCCAGTAGTTTCATCTCCCCTATGCAGATCAGTGGCTCCAAATTCCTCTCTCCAGGCTGTAACTCTATCACACATCAGATCTTGCTGAGGAGTGAGACCATGGGAGTGGCTTATTGTGGGAACTGGGTGGAGGATGCAGCTCAATGGTAGAGCATGGCCTCCCAAGCACCAGGCACTGGGCTGTATCCCAACACTCACTGTTTCAAAAGGAAAAAAGGAAAAAGCAAAAAAAAAAAAAAAGTGGAACTGCAATCATAATTTCCAAACCAATTTTAACTCTGTCACATACTTCCTTGTTAACCTTAGACAAGTTATCACATGATTTGTGCCTCAGTTTCATCAGGTGAAATGAGGATAATACCTGTACCTAGCACAGCACACAACAGATGTTAGTGACTACATAATAAGCATAATACTAATAAATACTTATTTTTGAATATCTCACCTTAATGTTTCAAAAATCTTGTTAAACCTTTCTCTCTGCCCCTACAAAAGTGCTCCTGGCACTACAGTTCTCCATTTATCTCATCAGACATTTAAGAGTAATTAACTGTCTCATCCCCCAGTCACATTCACATAAATTCAGTCACATCCACATAAATTCAGTCACAAAATTCTGTTGACTACAGTCCCCAAAATATTCACTCTGTCTCTTCTTTCCAATATTATAATATTTTAGATTTTCATGATGCTCCTTGAGCTCACTAAAGCCCATAACAGAATTCCTTTCCCAATTTTCCATCTTCCTAATCTTACTCATCACTACTGCCAGAGTCATCTTTCTAAAATGCACAGCTAATGACATCACTTTGGGATTAGCATCCTTCTACAGCTCTGGCATTTTCAATGTTCAAAGGCCGTCCTGATCTCCCTATATCTTCCCTCTAACCTTATCTGTCCTCCTTCTATGCGAAAAACACACTGAAAAAAAAATTTAAAAATTGCACCTGTGTCTTCACAACAAACACGTCCTGCTCTTTGGCTGGCTATTCCAACACTTATTCCCCAAGGCGTGCTCCAGGTGGAATTCCCAGATAGTAGATCCCTGCTCTCCTCCCTGTGCCTACAGTGCCACAGGCTTCCCTTCTCCATCCTCCAATGGTCGCTTTGCCTTCTAATCTACCTTCTATTGTGTCTGTCTGTTTCTGCTGCTAGACAGCAAACTTTACACAGAAGAGCAAGGAGAGGACTTCAGTTTCCTAGTCAATGCACAGAGCCTGACATTTAGCAGATGCATGATAGTTTTAAATTCCTTTGCCCAGTATAACATTTAATTAAACTATGAATTAAAAATAGTAGCAGATTCAAATACTTCTCCAAAGTATGAGCTGCATGAGATCTGGGACTTCTGCAGAGGGAATAGAGAAGAGCAGGGTAGTCTTTGACATTCTGAATAACGAGACTAGCTGTAATTTTAAAATGAAAAAAAAAAAAAGTCCTTTCTTTAGTTTTCCCTCTTGCAATGCTCCTATAAGAAGACAAAGTCATCTGCTCAGTGCACTCATTTCTAACACCATCTGAAATTCTACAATTGCTATACTTGTGCCTATAATCCTCATCCCTTGCTTTTTGACATTTTTACCTATTTTTATTTTCCACATGACCACATCAACCCTAAACTACAGATTCTGTAATTGTGTTTTGAAGAATTCTGACATTTATTCTAATACTTCTGACATGTTTTAGCCTTTTCATTTATCTTACATCATCTTAAGCTTGAAAACATTCTTTCAGTAGCTATATTTGTCTAAATGACATTCAAGTAATTTCCCCGAGAAATATTAAATCCCTATATTATATATACTTTGTTCCAACTTTGTCTGGCTAATTTTTAGGAGTTTAGGTACAAAGGAAGACTTATTTTTTTCCTCATTTTATTTCCATAGATTTTTCTTAACCTGATAATTAAGCTCTAAATGAGACATGAAATCTTTGAGACTGTTTGCTTATATAATACTACACTGGGTAAGTATTCAAGCAAGCTGTGAAAGAAAATCAAAATGCAACAGCCTTCCTACAATATCGGTATAATTCTGTCACTGAGAACATTTCAAATGTCAAATTTTCTTTCTAGTCCAAAGAAATCCTGAGATGACAAGGTTAGCTGTCTTCTTGTGAACCAGTGAGGGGCGGAAGGAGCCATGACAAGTTAACTCCTGAGTCAACCTGTCAAAAGAGTGTATCCTAAAATACACCATCTGGGGCAGATGTCTGACACTGAGCAGCATCACCATGACGATGTTCCTTTGATGCTTAGCGAAACTCTATGCACATCCAATAATATCACAACACATTGACAACACAAATCCTGACCAACTTTGTGATTTCAAGTGTTATCAACTAGCCAGTTCACATTTCTGGGAAAGAATGCCAAGCAAATATTAATTTACATCTTGAAATTCTGAAGTTATTTTGATGAACTCTATATGGAAATAAGTTATACTAATTGTCAATGTCCTGAGTACAAATTTCAAAGTGTATTTCAAAGTCATATAAGGACTGTTATTTGTTATAACGAATGAAGACAGTTCAATAAGATCTAGAAACCAAGCCCCAGAACTAATAAAAGCAATTCTCTCAAAATTGCAACATAGTAACCACAATGTGTCAAAAATCATATTTGATAAGTCTCTTCACAAATAATAGGACCAATAAATTTGACTGCATAAAAACAAATTTACTCATAAAGAACATTTTAAATAAAACAGAAAAGTAAATAACGAATAACTGCAACTATAACTGAAAAAAGATAATATCCTAAGTATTTATGAAAAAATAAAAGTGCTCAGTCCTCAACATAATGGACATCAGCAATGAAAAGATAATCCACAGAAGTGCCAGTGGCCAATAAATGCAAACCAGGCTAACAATCAAAGATATGTATAAGAAAACAGCAACATGTTATAAGCAATTTATGAAAGATTAAAAAAACGTACGGCTTATAGCTAAAGAAGAGTGTAACAAGATGAAAACAGAATTTTATAGGTTTAGTAGATATTCTGAAGAGTTGTGGAGATACGTATCAAGTAAGCTAATATATGTATACATAACTGCTGACACATAACTCCAACCTTAGAACACTACTGTAAGTACATTCCTGAAAGGAAGATACACTTTTGCTCAACATCTGCTTGTGTCCCTCTTCCAAGCACATGCACGTATGCATATCAAGAGCTACATTTACCAGAGCACTTAAAAAAATGGAAATACACTTAAATCCCAACAACTAGGAAAACATTAAGTGATTTAGGATATATCTATCAATATATATATCTAGTACAATGAACAAAAAAGACATAATTGCAAGTATATATTTACTGAAATGGTAAACAGTTTCTGGGTAGAAAGCTCATATTTTCCTTTCATACATAAAGAGGCACATACATATACATCTATTTATATATGTGTGTGCATTTGTGCGTGTGTGTATGCCATCTTAGTTTTTCATTGGATTTTTGAGCCAGAGAATTGGAAAAATCCTTACCACTTCATTTATGACTAGGAACTAAGGGCCAGAAAGAATCTGCTTAAGACCAAAGGGCTAGTAAGAAAGAGTAAAGCAGCTAAGTAGGTAGGTTTTCTATCCCACCCAGTGGAATCCAATGTATTATCCTTTACCTGAGATGTCTATAATTTAAAGTCCTGGTTTTCAGTTCTCCAAAATGCTCATTCTAGAAGTAGAAATCTGGTATCAATCATTTTTTCTCAGTCTTCTTATCACAGGGAGATTCACAAAACAGGGTTTCCTAAACAACTTATCACAAAGTCATATAACTGAAAAAACTAGAAGATGATCTCTTGGAGCCATTCATAACAGGGATCTATTGCTCTTTTGAAGAAGGGACAGCATACATTCTACCTTGGTAAGCATCTTAGACGCACTGAAAATGTAATGGACAGATCCAAGGAAGATGACTGTGGAAATGTCCAGTGTGTACTTTTCTTTATAGTTCCTAAGCAAGCTCTCAAAGCAAAACACACTAATTGTCAGAGGAAGTTTTGCATTTTATAGAAAATGATGAATTGTTTTATTGCTCTGACAAGTGATTATTAGAATATTCACTCATTTTAATTATATAGCTGAAAATATTTTCACTAAAGTTTACTCCTGTGTGACCATTACTATAATCGATATACAAAACATTTGGATGGCTCACAAAATTTCCCCATAACTCTTTGCAGCGAATGCCTTCTACCCACGATTTCAGGCCAAAACTCGTGTTTTCTGTTAATACGTCTTAATTTATCAGTTTTAGACTTCTATATAAAAAGGATATGTAATATTACT